ACCAGCTGGCGTAATAATAATAATAATAATAATAATAATAATAATAGTAATAAATAGATTTAAAATAAATAAGTATATTTTATGATTAAAAATAAAGTATTAATCTAAATAACATATAATATAATAATATTAATTTAAATCAAATCCTAATTTAGAAAACAAATTCAAATTCAAATTAATTTGAATTTGAATTCAAATTCGTTACCAAATTAAGATGTATAAAATATGAAAGGATTTGAATACAAGATGAAATTATGGGAGGCTTCATAATTAAGGATTATCAAAGAGGAAAGTATTTGAAATTCAAATGGAGAATTGATTTCAAATAAATACAACAAACTAAATTATGACAATCCAAAATTAGGAATTAATTAAAATAATAATAATATTAAAAATAATAAATATAATTTTTAAATAAATAATGATAATAATAATACTAAAAAAAAAGATTTTTTTTAAATGAAGAAAAGAAAAGAAAAAAAAATTCATTCTCTCGATCGAGACATCTAAATTTAATGAAATTTTAAACATAGATTAGTATCATGAAGAGAAAGCATGGGGTGATATTTGAAAAATCTAAAAAGCACTTGTAAAAAAAATTATATAGATCTAAGTGTAGTGACCTAGATCTAAAGTTTTGAGGAATTTCACCGTTGGATCTTCAAGTTCTTTATACGGTTGAGCTTCTAAATTTAATGAAATTTTAAACATAGATTAGTATCATGAAGAGAAAGCATGGGGTGATATTTGAAAAATCTAAAAAGCACTTGTAAAAAAAATTATATAGATCTAAGTGTAGTGACCTAGATCTAAAGTTTTGAGGAATTTCACCGTTGGATCTTCAAGTTCTTTATACGGTTGAGCTTGTAGATTGTCCTTGTATATTTCTCTAGTTGAAATCACGATCAAACAAGCTCTGGATCAACCGGATCGAGGCCTTGGATGGATCTAGCCTTGATCTCATCGGAGGATCGCCGCCAACGGAGTTTGACCGATGGATTTGAGCGCAAGAATGTGAGAGAAGTTGGAAGAGCTCTCACACCAAGAAGTGAGGGTTGAGAGTGGCTAGGGAGAGAATAGAAGCCAACCCCTCTCATGAAGCCCTAAAAAATATTTAAATGATCAAGATCTTAGATCTATGGCTAGGATTCATCCTAAGACTAATTAGAAGGGAATTGAGATGATTTAGCCGTCGATTTGATTGCTTGAATTAAGAACAAATTTAAGCTCATAAAAAAACATATTAAATTAAAATCAAGCTCAAAATTAGATCTGATTTGGGTCAATTTAGAGTTCAACTTGATTTGCTCAAATTAACCCAATTAAATTTAAATAAAATGACGACTCAAATCATAACAAACTCGACGTGGCCAAGGCGGACTAATCGAGTTTAATCAAACCCGATCGAGCCTAATTCGACTCAACTCGAGCTGATTCGTGCTCGAATTGAACCCGATGGGGCTTGATTAAATCAATCAAAGGCCCTCAACGACACTCGAACGAAAATCGAGGTCAACACCTAACATAGGCCGGATTTAAGACATCTACTTCTCCTAATAGGGTTATCAGAAGACCGATATTTTTTATGTGACCAAACTCTAATCTTATATGTCGCTAGAGCTACTCAAACCTTTCCACGTATATACACATTTCGCATTCTAATTTTAAAGCCCCTCATCTATCTAAGCATTCGCATCTATGTAACACTTAATTTTATGCTTCTCTGTTGATAGCCAACATTCTATGTCATAAAGCTTTGAATGACTCACCAACATCTTATTAGATTTTTCTTTAAATTTGTGGGGAACTTTTCTATCACACAAGTTTGATGCATTCCTCGACTTCAACCATAATATCACCATCATTTTGAACAATAGATGAGAAATACCTAAAATGTGACCTCTTTTTAATGACTTGATTGCACAAGATCACAATCCCATTAGTATATCTATTACAATTAAAATTACACTCATAAATTCAATTTAGATCTACTCAAATAAAAATCATTAGACTCTTAAGGTTGACCTCCAAAACCCTAGTTTTTCATCAACACCCTCTCTAGTCTTTTCAACAAGAACATCATCAACAACCACTTGCAAATGACAAGTAAAAACGTCCATGACTAAAGCAAAACAGGTATGGGCTTAAAGTTGATCCTTGATGTAATCTAACTGAAATAGAAAAATATTTACCCAAACCACCTTGTGTTAAACACAAGGAATGGCTCGTGCATACATATCCTTAATGGCTTGAATAAAAAGAATTATCAACCCTTTTCATTTCTAGAAGTCTTCAAAGCACTTTTCTTGAAACTTTATCATATGTTTTTTCTAAATCAATAAAAATCATATGTAGATTCTCTTTACTCTATATACTTCTCCATCAAACCTCTCAACAAATGTGCAGCTTCCATAGTAGAGCTGTCTGGCATGAATCCAAATTGATCTTGAGAAAAATTAGTATCACGTCATAACCTATGCTCAATTACTCTCTCCAATAATTTTAATGCATGACCTATTAACTTAATTCATATGTAATTCTCACATTTTAGTGCACCACATTTAATCTTAAAAAATAGAAATACACTCTATCTATGCTCATCTGGTATGTTTTATTCTTCAAAATAATATTAAAAAGCTTAGTAAGCCAAAAAAAACTCTTTGATGTTCTAAGAATTTCTACACTTTTATTTGAATATCATCTAGTTCTGCTACTTTCTCTCCCAATAATGTAGACCAGAAAGTAGTGAAAATGTGGTGTCTTTTATGGAAACCTTAATGAGATCTACTCATGATGCTCAAGAGCCTACATAACATCGCCCTCTATCTCGGCAAAAGCTTCTTCGCTCTTGTATATCCTACTACTCGTGCCCCTTCTTGGGGGGAAGTAGCATCTTGAATGCTTCAACTCCCTCATTGGTGAGCTCGATGTGTCAAGCATCATTCAAGTTGATCATCACATTTGCATCCTCACCACATCTTGCCATCACTCTCTACATCTCCAAGGTGAGTGCCTTCAATTTGAAAGTCTCAAAAAAAAAGTAAAGTCGGATGTTGTTAGGATCTTCCAAGCCTTATCTACCTTTACAAAGAAGTGTTCTTCCATCCCTTCTTAGAGTTGGATAGTCCAACAAAATTCAAGGGTTGGGCACCTCTAACAGATAAACAGCATTGCCCATTAACTACCTTACACGAAAGAAATATAAGAATCATTGTGTCGACTACAAAGCCACATACCTGCAAAGAATAACATCATCCCTTGCGTCACTGCATATTTGTTTGGCTCTAGCCACATGGGCCCCATTTGCAGCGTATTTGAAAGTCACTCAACTTTTTTTAAAAAAGGTAGTTCCAATCCCATCTCAAAATGAACTGCTAATGAATTGAACTATGTGAATTATCATCAAGGACCTTACACACCAATCTATGCAACATGATTGTATGTTACTCTAGGTAATTTCTACCTGTACAATTATCAATTAGATAATGATTCAACGACAAAATTCCTAGGGAAGAACATATAAGAATTTAATAATGTTTCTATACCTACGTCTACAACAATAAAGGAAGACAATCTAGATCTTGCAAATATTTATTTCTCTCAAATATTAAGAGGAATTTCCTCCCTTTGCAAGCCCGCAGATTGTCATTTATCCATAGTGATGGGCATCAACTTGAAATCCCATATATTACTAAGTTGGCTAAAGAAAAATCGCCAAGACTCCCTAAATTACAAAATGGATATTTTTCATACTTAACTTTGAGGTGATATTCTAAAAATTGAGCTTAGTGGTCCTTTGATTAAGATTTTAGACAACTGGTTGTTTGTTTGGATAAATGGTATGCATATACATCTATTTTCTAATTTTCTTTAGTTCGGTCACATTAAATTAGGTTGATTTATTGTCACGTTAAAACTTCATAATATATTCTCATTTTATTCTCAAGTAATTTATAATGATTTTGATCCATAAAAATTCAAAAATTCCTTATGTCATTACTTCAAAATTCAACTTAAGCATTGGAATCGGTCACTACTAACTACTTATTTCTCCAAATTATTAGACTTCTACCCTAGAAGGAGAAGAATTCAGTAGTAGATTCTTTGTTTACAAGGGATCTCGTCTAATTAGCATTTCATTTTGTTGCTAAACAAAGCCTTTTTTTCCTTTAAATTAATTACTTTCAGGAAAGAGCAAGGGCATGAGCAGTATTTCCATAAGAAATTACAGCAAAGCTTTGATCTAGCACAGAAAAAACTTTAAAATTCTAAAGATTGTGGAAGACAAGCAAATGTTCAAGTGGCTGTATAAAAGCAAGAGGATTGCTTGGTTTGATGCAAACTGTGTAAGGTAATCAAAATTTAGGAAAAGTTTTTGCTTGCCTAACTATTAGTTAATTTATTTTTCAACTTCTGAAACAAAATGACGGTATTTATTTTGGAAGCAAATCAACCATGATGCAAAAACACAATTATAACAATAACAATAATAATAAAGAAAATGTAGTCGAATTACCTGAGCGACTTAATAAAGGAGCATGAATTACGCTTCTTCTTCTTCTTTCTGTTAAAAAAGGAAAAAAACATAAATACATTATTTAATGTGCTAGAAATTTAACAAAACAATTCTTCAACCACGCCTCCTTGCCCCGATTGCGAATTTTTCCGCCGAGGGTTTCGTATTTTGAGATGTTGGGCCTTCGGTCCTTCAGGAGCTGAGTAGAGGAAAAAGAGATGGTTTGGGACTTTCAAGCGCGATGCAGCGCACAGAGACGAGAGTTCGGCTCGTAAGGGAGAAAGCCGACTACGAACGGTTAAGACTACGGTTTCTATTCGCGTATGTGAAGTGCGTAGTGAGAACCGCATTAGGGGCTGTTTGGTATCGGATGTACAGCGGGATTTAAGTCGGATTCAAGCTAAATCTAGCCAAACGGTTATTGTGCGCGCGTTAAATCCCGGTGATGGATAAATCCCGGATTTGAGGATTTAAGGATTAAATTCCGGATTTACCAAATCCCTTGGTTTGGCGGATTTATGGGATTTGGCCGAAGAAGCGCGCAAAAGGGAGAAAGTTACATTCACAGCCAGCGAGCTCCAGTTGTTGCTTCCGATCAAAATTTCGTAACTTCCGATCCGACCGGAAGGGAAAGTTGTCGAAGGAGCGAAGCCAAACAGCCAGGAAGGAGCCGAAGAAGACATGGGTGCTCCCAAAATTAATTTTTGAAGTTTCCAACTAGCTTTTGCCTCGAGATTCGTGCTCGATCAAGATAATTTTTGTGATGCCGTATCAATAATAATAAATTCAATTAAAAGACATTTATGATTTATTTGAATTAATTGATTTTATAATATTTAACTAATTTAATAATTTATTAATAAAAAATTATTATATCATTAATCATTAAAGTATAATAAATATGATTTATTTTGACTAATTTATTTTATAATATTTAATTAATTTAATAATTTATTAATCAATTATTATTATATCATTAAAGTATAATAAATATAAATATTTATATTAGATTGTTTATCATCTTTATAGTGAGATTAATTGACCTTCATATCAAATATTAATCAATTTTTTTAACGAGATTGTTCAAGAGCTTCTTATTAAGCTCTATATCGATCATGATTTGAGTTTTCTTGACGAGCTTGTTCATAAAATTTAAATCATTTCAACACATAGTTGTTCAAGTTTATTTATTTAAACATCAAGTTTTTAAAATTTTATTCAAACTTGTTTGACAACTTAATCAAACAAGCTATAATCGAGCCGAGGCACGTGTAACTTGTCAAACTCTCAATTCATTTGCAACACAAATTGTAATAAGCTCTCTTTTTTGAAAAAAAAAATGTTTGCATAAATTTTTTTATTATTTTGGGAGCAAGCTTATAATGTGATTTCAATGCCTATGCATAGTTTCCTTTGACCCATCATTATGGGTTCCTTGAATATTGACCTTTTTTACAAAAAAATCGCTTCCACATAATGTTATTCACATGATTAATATTATTAATGAGGGTATTTGTATTTGTTAGATAATCATAAAAAAATCATGCAAACTTATTTTTATTCTCATATTTTAAATGTTGCTTGGGCTTTCTTGCTTTGGCATATGAGGGCATCTTCTAGATTTTTCATCTTTAGTATGAAGAAGATATCAATGGCTGCTTCACTTTTATTGGGGTTGACTCATTGATTCCTTTTGTCATATTATTTCTTTTATTTGATGAAGAATGATGAATTTTAAAAGCAATATAAATCATACTACATGGATGTTCAATGAGACCCATGACACCATTATAGTAAACTTCGACATATTTTGTTGTACTCAAATGACCCAACTTCTTAGATCATTTGATTCAACTAAGTCAAAGTCCTTTTATTACTTTTTAAACTAGCTATCCCAATTACTAATTTTTATGTGATGTCGAGTTTATTTTACCATCTTATAAATTCTATGTTATAAACTCATTCTTTGATCTTTATAAGTATTCTTTGTTTATAATTATCTTTTTGATTTAATGTAATTAATTTGGCCAAATACCCCAACCCTCTTTTGTCCCTCTCTTAGTGATAAGCAAGCCACCATTTGTAAATAATGCTGACGAGGTTTTCTTCCATTACCACTGTTATCATCCGCTTTTCTAACTCACGGTGCCATCACCTTTGATCATTAACTGATTAATCCTAGACTTTTATTATACTTCATGTAGAGTTACCTTTAGTGTATATATATATATGTTCATTGGCAATGAAAAATAAATACTTTTACTATAACTCTTTATTTTATTTATTTTCCCTTTATATTTATTATGTATTCTCCAAATCCTTTTCTTCATGGTATAAGAGATCAGGTCTAGAAAAAGTTGTTAGTTATCTACAATAATTATCTGTCAAGTTTTCTTTTTTGTATAATATAGCTCAGTCGCTCTCTTCGACTACTACCATGTCTCTTCATGCTTCATCTCATATCAAGTTGGGAGACATTTCTATTCCTCCCCAATTAAAGTTTATTATGACAAATGTTAAATCTATTCTTAACATTCAGCTCATTTCTAAAAATTATCCACTATGAAACTCTAAAATTTAAAAATATTTACCACTAACGGATTTGATGGATTTTTGATATGTTCAACATTGAAGCCCTCGAAGCAGCTTAGTTATGATAATAGAGAGGTTCTTCCAAATCCTCATTTTTCATATATTGATCTTAATTGATCAAAATCTAGTCACGGTTCTGTAGTCAACCATCTCTCCAAGTTTTCTTCTATATGTTCTTAATCTAGAATCATGTATGGAAATTTGGCATGCCATTGAAAAACGCATATAGTCGACTAACCATTCTCACATTCTTCAATTCAAGAATGAGTAAAATCATCTCTCTATGAAGGATAAATCAGTGATAAAATATTTATCTAAGATTAAAAGCAAATTTAATGCTATTGGATCCATTGGTTTTCCTTTACATGCTGACGACATTGTTTTATACATATTAAATGGTCTTCGTAGTTCATATTAAGCATTCAAAATAGCTATTTTAGACTAACATTCAACCGCTTAGTCCTGAAGATTTCTAAGCCTTGCTCTATAGCAAATAACTTAACTTAGTCGCTGACCTCACTCGAGATATCTTGTTGACGTTTATTCCGACTAACATCAAGCCTTTTCTAGTGTTCGTGGTTGAAGTCATGGTCATTTCTCACGAACCCATTTTTCTTCTCAAGCTGCTCGTGGAATATTATTTTTGTCATGAGGTTTGATTAGTTCTTTATTGACTTCATGTTTGTATGAGGTTCGTCAATCAAAATCAAATCCAAAACCAATTTCAAATTCAAAATCTCAAACAAAAAATCAAGGCCTAAAGTCCCATGTCCTATAACCCGTTTTGGGTGATTTTTCAATCACTGTAAAAAAAAAAAACCAAATGAGCTTGGATTCATGATTTTTTAGTTGTATATTGATTATGCATGTCTCTAGAGTCGACCCTCTAAATTCGATGCCAATCTGTGACATTAAACCCCCAAAAACTCAAATGAAACTTAAAGGGTACAAAACCTTCAAATATTTACAACACATGCAACTGGACCTTACACCTTGTTAAATTTGACCTTGGGGCCTTCCTCAAATCCTTGAACATGTCTATAACCCTTATTGTGATATGTTAAAGCCAAAACTGTACCTTGATGGACCCTGGTTGACCCAGAGCTGACCATGAGCCCAGTTGACAAAAATGCTTTTGAAGGGAAAAATTGAAGTTTTATCTAAACTTCAATATGGATAAATCAAACTAAGCCATTGAGCCTCTTCTAATGTGTCCTATACATCTTTAGGAGTGCATTTGATCAAAATTGAAGTCTTGATTTGACCTAGTTGACGAAGTCAACTATAGTTGATCAAAATGCCCCTGAAGGGCCCAAACATGCATTTCATGCAAAATGACCTCACCATTATATGGGACCACCTCCATTGGGTCCAAAATATAACTTTGAGTTTGTTGGTCCCAACCCCATCCTTGGTTTGACCAGGTTGACCAAACTAATCATACACCCAGCCAAAGTCAAATTCAATGCTATAAGTAATATCAAACCAAAATGACCACTCAAAATCATTCAATTGGATATTTTAAGCATGTTTAATATTCTCCTAAGTCAAGTCACCATTGATATGACTTGATTAACTCATCATGGAAGGTTAAAATCATGTATGCAACCAATTCTTCAACCACACTCAACCCCTGACCTCAAATCTCATGGAGTTTATTCCTACAACATGTGTAACTCTCCATCATCCCAACCCAGTTACCATTAATTAGTTGACCAGTCAACAAGTTAACAAGCCCTTCCAAAGCATGAAAATATGATTAAATGGGTCAAAATGACCAAGCCACCTCATCCATCTCATTTCCCTTCAAACCTTTTAGCATATTTTACAATTTTTTTGGTCTCTAACCACCTTGGGCAAGTGGCAGCCATCCAAGTAACCACTCCAATCTATCTTAGCCTTCCATTTAAAAGGTTAGTGTTTAAGATGGGCAAGATCACTCAAAACCCTTATTCACTCATCTAATATTCTCTCCGATGTCTCCAGCCCCTAAGCTCTCTCCCTCAGTCTCTTTAAGAGTTTCTCCAAGTTTCTTAACCTTCTCCCCACCACCCCATAGTCTTTAAAGCCCATTTTGGTGAAGAGAGATAGAGAAATAGAGAGAAAATGAGAAAATATAGAGATAAATTTAAATATAGCCAAAACCAGATCACGACTTCTTCTAAAAAGTGCACAAGGATCTGTCTAGATTACACATATGCTCAAAATCTTGAAAATCCACCCATAGGTTAGAAAGTTATCCTCATTTTAAGTTCTATAATCAAACCTTGTTATTTTATTTATTTTCCCTTTATATTTATTATGTATTCTCCAAATCCTTTTCTTCATGGTATAAGAGATCAGGTCTAGAAAAGGTTGTTAGTTCTCTACAATAATTATCTGTCAAATTTTCTTTTTTGTATAATATAGCTCAGTCGCCCTCTTCGACTACTACCGTGTCTCTTCATGCTTCTTCTCATATCAAGTTGGGTACATTTCTATTCCTCCCCAATTAAAGTTTATTATGACAAATGTTAAATCTATTCTTAACATTCACCTCATTTCTAAAAATTATCCACTATGAAACTCTCAAAATTTTAAAATATTTATCACTGGCGATTTGATGGATTTTTGATATGTTCAACATTGAAGCCCTCAAAGCAGCTTATTTATGATAATAGAGCGGTTCTTCCAAATCCCCATTTTCATACATTGATCTTAATTGATCAAAATCTAGTCATAGTTTTGTAGTCAACCATCCCTCCAAGTTTTCTTCCATTGCTCTTAATCTAGAATAATGTATGGAAATTTGGCATGTCGTTGAAAAAAGCATATAGTCGACTAACCATTCTCACATTCTTCAATTCAAGAATGAGTGACATCATCTCTCTATGAAGGATAAACCCATGATGCAATATTTATCTAAAATTAAAAGGAAATTTGATGATATTGGATCTTCTGGTTTTCTTTACCTGCTGACGACATTGTTTTATACATATTAAATGGTCTTCCTAGTTCATATTAAGCATTCAAAATAGCTATTTCAGACTAACCTTCAACCGCTTAGTCTTGATGATTTCTAAGCCTTGCTATATAGCGAAGAACTTAAATTAGTCGCTGACCTCACTCGAGATATCTTGTTGACGTTTATTCCGACCAACATCAAGTCTTTTCTGGTGTTCGTGGTTGAAGTCATGTTCATTTCTCACGAACCCGTTTTTCTTCTCAAGCAGCTCGAGGAATATTATTTTTGTCATGAGGTTTGATTAGTTCTTTATTGACTTCATGTTTGTATGAGGTTCGTCAATCAAAATCAAATCCAAAACCAAGGTCAAATTCAAAATCTCAAACCAAAAATCAAGGCCTAAAGTCCCATGTCCTACAACCCTTTTTTGGTGATTTTTCAATCACCTTGAAAAAAAATCCAAATGAGCTTGGATTCATGATTTTTTTGTTGTATATTAATTATGCATGTCTCTAGAGTCGACCCACTAAATTTGACATCAATCTGAGACATTAAACCCCCAAAACTCAAATGAAACTTAAAGGCTACAAAACCTTCAAATATTTACAACACATGCAATTGGACCTTACACCTTATAAATTTTGACCTTGAGGCCTTCTTCAAAATCCTTGAACATGTCCATAATCCTTATTGTGACATGTTAAAGCCAAAACTGCACTTTGATGGACCCTGGTTGACCCATAGCTGACCATGAGCCCAGTTGACAAAAATGCCTCTGAAGGGCAAAATTGAAGTTTTCTCTAAACTTCAATATGGATCAATCAAACTAAGCCATGGAGCCTCTTCTAATGTATCCTAGACATCTTTAGGAGTGCATTGGATCAAAATTGAAGTCTTGATTTGACCTAGTTGACCAAGTCAACTATGGTTGATCAAAATGCCCTTAAAGGCCCCAAACATGCAATTCATGCAAAATGACCTCACCATTGTATGGGACCACCTCCATTGGGTCCAAAATATAATTTTGAATTTCTTGGTCCCAACCCCATCCTTGGTTTGACTAGGTTGACCAAATTAATCATACACCCAACCAAAGTCAAATCCAATGCTCTAAGTAATATCAAACCAAATTAACAACTCAAAATCATTCAATTGGATATTTTAAGCATGTCTAATATTCTCCTAAGTCAAGTCACTATTGATTTGACTTGATCAACTCATCATAGGAGGTTAAAATCATGTATGCAACCAAGTCTTCAACCACACTCAGGGACCCCTGGCCTCAAATCTCATGGAGTTTATTCCTACAACATGTGTAACTCTCCATCATCCCAACCTAGTTACCATTAACTAGTTGACCAATCAACAAGTTAACATGCCCTTCCAAAGCATGAAAATGTGATTAAATGGGTCAAAATGACCAAGCCACCTCATCCATCTCATTTCCCTTCAAACCTTTTAGCATATTACACCATTTTTTTGGTCTCTAACCACCTTGGGCAAGTGGAATTCATCCAAGCAATCACTCCAATCTATCTTAGCCTTCCATTTAAAAGGTTAGTGTTCAAGATGGGCAAGATCACTCAAAACCCTTATTCACTCATCTAATATTTTCTCCGCTGTCTCCAGCCCCTAAGCTCTCTCCCTCAGTCTCTCTAAGAGTTTCTCCAAGGTTCTTAACCTTTTCCCCACCACCCCATAGTCTTTGAAGCCCATTTTGGTGAAGAGAGATAAAGAAATAGAGAGAAAATGAGAAAATGTAGAGATAAATTTCAATCTAGCCAAAACTAGATCACGACATCTTCTAAAAAGTGCACAAGGATATTTCTAGATTTCAAATATGCTCAAGATCTTGAAAATCCACCCATAGGTTAGAAAGTTATCCTCATTTTAACTTCTATAATCAAACCTTGATTTCTCCTAAATTCCAAGGCATGTAGAATTGAAACTCCATGGATTGTAAGATTAAGGTATCTAGATCCTATTATATGTGCAACATATATTCATGCATGCAAGATACAACCTCATTCAAACTCAATATTTTAATTCTTGTTACAATCCTATTCTTTCAACAAATGTTGCTCTAATACCATTTTATAATGCCCAGAATCTAAATTTGGAAGGACTTTATCTTCTATCATCTAAATATCAACAAGAGCTTAGATTTTTATATGAATATCGAAAAACATAAATGCATTATTATTTATTAAATATTCACATTGTTCCCAACAAAAAATAACATATATATAATAGCCATGATGCTCAGTTAGTATAAATATGTCATCTATCAAACATGTCATTTTTTTTTTCACATTTATTGCCAAGCTTATCTATCTTATAAATCATCCGTTAGATATATCATTTCTATATCGAATATATCATGTATGAAATTATGTTTGTTATTATGTATGCAAATTAAAATGAAATTCAACAAGACATATGATCTAGCTTTAATGTGATATTTTCATTTTTCCATATATCATCTATGAATATTATCATTTATTCATGATATCATCTTGAAATCACTATTATAGGTGGCTTTTGATGATATATAAAGAGTCGTCACTCTCTATCTGTCATTATAATTAATAATTTATCACAGGATACCAATGATTACATCACAAACAATCTTTAAAAGAATGTTGACCCACCCTCCTATACATGATATTAATATTTAAGAGTCAACTCATATTAAGCACAATGTTGATAGCTAGCCTCTCTTTCTTACATATAAATGCACATTCTTTCTATAGCAATTATATTATTTGTTTTATGCAATATAGTAAGTATATCATTAATATGCAAGTATTAGGCCTTGAAATACATATACTTCGAAATGAATGATAATCATATGAATATCATGCATCTCATATTCATATTTAGTATAGTAGCACCTTATTATTTTACAGTCAATATTTCCTTACTCATTCCATATAAGATATTATATAAGTCAAATCACTCGACGAAACTTCAAAAATAACCAACTAAAATGCATAATAATGATATATATCACATAACAAAAGTTATACGGTGGAAGTTCATTAGGATGAGAGATATCACCTTTTTATCATTTTCAAGAGGGTTTCACCAAACTCAAAATTATTGAAAATAAATGTGGAGTAGACATCACTTACTATGAAAAGAACAATTATTGTAAGATGAACAATGGATTTAAATGCCTCAAATATCTCTCTCTCTCTCTCTCTCTCTCTCTTATTCTTCTTCTTCTCTCAGCCTTATCTTTTTTTTTTCTCCTTTATTTTCTTCTTGACCAATCAAATTATGAAATGAGGGAGGGAGAGGGATGATGGAAAGTATATTTATATTTAAATATTTAAAAACTCATTTCAACGCTCAGTGAAGTGGCGCTTAAGATCTAGTGACGTTGTGTTGCATGCCACCCCTACAGTTACTCTAAAATAGAGACTATAGAGTTAAACTGTTATGCATTATTATAGAGACCCTTCTTTTACTCCACCTCTCGAGCGGTTCTTCTCAAACGCCTCCTTGTGATGCTACGCCTGCAAGCCTAGCGCCACTGTGCTTAATTATTTTTCAAAATTTTAGAGAGCTCAATGATGGGTCAATACAACTATTAGGCACATCCCAACGCCACAACACTCATATGCATAATTTTTTAAGATTATCATTTTAAAATAATTTCATTTGTCAGGCTGTTACATGTAGAACAATGATAATTTGAGGATTGTTGTTAGGTGACATTGATTTGAGGACTCTAGTCGGACGATAATAGTTGGAGGGTCATTATTGTTTAATAGTAGTCAGAGAATCATAATTGGACGAGGGTGGTCTGAGGATCATAATTTGGAGACGGTGGTCCGAGGATTGTAGTCAGCGGGAGACACATGTCGGAAGGACCATTGTTTGGTGAAGTTAGTCTAAGGATCATAGCCGAGTGACGATTGTTTGAGTTATGTTGTTGGGTTATGGTGGTCTGATGGTGGCGATTGCCCATTGAAAGATCCAACTACAATGGATGTAGAATCGCAGTTTGCGGGCAACGGAGGTTGGTGGACTATAATCGACATACAATGAAGGTGAAAAAGGACTATAGCCGGGCGATGATGGTCAGAGAATTGTACTCCGATGATGGTGGCCTAAAGATCATAATGGTCGAATGGTAAAGGTCTGACGATGACGATCATTCAATGGTGATTAAAGCCTTTGAGGCCTCTTGAATTTCAAGAGAGAGTTTAACTTTACTCCAAATTTCTCCCCCTAAGCTTCCCTCATGTGTAGTCTAGGGCCTATTCACAGATTTTTTAAAGTGGCATGCCTTTAAATATAAATAAAATTCAAAACACTCAATCAGATTGCTTGTATTGATTCCCTTGATCATAAAGTGTTCATTCAACCTTTAAGAGCTTTAATGTTGTCCATATTGAACAATCTTGAGCTCGTTGAATTCGTCTCGTCGAGACACTCAATTCGATTAAAAACACGTCAAGCTTGGAGATTATTTAGCCATCCAATGAATATCCTGAAGTTTTTAATAATGCTTCATACTTATGATTTAGGCTCGAATTGGACAATTTTTTGTGTTCTTGGGTTCCTACCTTTCAATCCAACTATATACTTGATGAAATTGAAATTCAAATGATCATGAATTTATTTTTAGAAAATTCTAATGTTAATATGCCTCGAGATCCATACCTACTGTTGATGTCAAAAATTTAACTGAATTTAGCTTCTACATTGTCAAATAGTTTTGAAATTTAACTCCATCATAATTTAATAATTTATAATTTTTATTCAATTTTACTTGAATTAAATAAATCCTACTGTATCCGAATAGCCCATAAATATCAACGGTCATAGGCCCAAGTAGTGCGCGCCAACTCTGCTTCATCCGTCACGCGCTGGACTGGATTCGAGTCCGATAAGCTCCAACAACAACACAGAATAATTAAAACACGTGGCAAAATGAACGGTGGATTTTAAGGCCACGTGTAATCGGCACGCGTCTTTGAACTGGCCGGTTCGTGATGTTAATATATAAACCCAAGCGGCCGAGCCGCCGAGCACAGCTGTCTCCTTTTATTTCTTCGCTACCGCTTCTCTACCGGACATTTGATCGCTCTGAAGAACGGCGATCTCATTGTAACCAGTCCGAAAAGAGAACTCGGGGCACTCGAAAAATGGTATCTCAGTCGCTATCTCTACCCCCCTGTCTCTCTCTCTTGCTCTTGAACTTCTGTTTCCTTACCTAGGGTTAGGGTTACCTACCGCTGTTTCGTTGGATCCTGATTTGGTTTTAATATGCATAATTTCTTAGGCACTTCCCAACCAGCAGCAGGTGGATTACCCTAGCTTCAAGCTAGTAATCGTCGGGGATGGTGGCACAGGTATCTATTCTTTTTCACATTTTGGCTCCTTCAGCAGTTTGTTTTTGATGAATTTCTAGGATTAGGTTTTATAATTAGCTTGATTATATGATTTTTTTCAGGGAAGACTACTTTTGTCAAGCGACATCTAACGGGGGAGTTTGAGAAGAAATATGAGCGTAGGCATCTGATTTGAAATGTTCTAATTAGTTGTTTTTTTATTTACGCATTTTTCATGCATGAGTATTTTTTTCCTAATCCCGAATGGATGGATTTTTTCCCGGTGGATTTTGTACAGCTACCATTGGTGTTGAGGTCCATCCTCTGGATTTTCACACCAACTGTGGGAAAATCCGTTTCTATTGCTGGGATACTGCTGGGCAGGAAAAGTTTGGCGGGCTAAGAGATGGATATTAGTGAGTTCCAGTTCTTTGAAAATTAGCGCATTTTTTTTAATTCTTAAGAGCATATTTAAATTTACTATATTTTTGTTTTGCATTTAATTGATTTTCTGGATGGAGTGTGTAAACTTGAAAATGACATGTTCCTGTAATTATTTTCCTGTAAGTTCAGTATTTATCATCTGCTGTCCTTTGTAAATATCAATTCTTGAGTGAAACGCCGTATGGAGTTCTTTAATGGAACATCAACCTACTTTTCACTTAATATTAGTGATCATGTCATTCTTAATCACTTTTTGGAGTTAATGGGATTTTTAGTTTTCCCTTTTGTGGTTGGGATTCCTATGCTGCTGAATCTCCCGTGATTATGCAGACGTCTTGAGGGCTTCTGGCCTTTAAGTTGGTCTTTTGAATATTTTGCATGGGTCCCAAAGTCTTTTTTAATGCTGTGTGGCTTTAAAATCCGATCAACATGCTTTTTGGGACACAGGTGAGTACATTATAATTATTTTTATGTTTGGATTTTTTAATCGGATCAGTGTGGAATGTAAATGTTCAATATATTTTTCAGTTTTTTTTGGTGCTCTTTAAACAACTTCTGCAGCAATAATTGAATACAATGTGCATATTAGTCATATTTTGAAGGTACATTGTTATCTATTACTTGAAAGCATGCTAAATTTTTATTGATTGGATCAGCATAGCATGTTCTCAAGCTTTTATGATATTGAAATGTTGTTCAAGTTTCCTTTTTTTTCCATCAACATTTATTTCTTTACAATCTTTTTTTGTTAAGGCTTAAATGACTGCTGGCATTATAAAACTGCTTCCGAGTAGATTTCCTTTTTATGGGAATTTCCATGCGAAAAGTTCCAAAATGTTGTTTCATACTTGTTTGATTAATCACTCTACTTTGATGAAGCTAAGTCATCATAGGATTCATCTTGATTTTGTTATAGTTGATGTTGGAATTCATCTTAATGTATGTATCCATGATGGAATTCATCTTGTATCAGATATGACAACTTAGTTTGAAAATAAAAATCAAACTAGCCTATTCACCCCATACATGCTATATATTGTATGCATGTTTATTGATAGGGATATGGTTATAACTGTATGGCTTGCAGAACTTACTTTTCATGTGCACAAAATGTTAACCTTTTTTTTTTGTTAATTTTAAGTGTATCTTTATTGAAATTATCAATATTTTCAATGCTTCAACTATCATAATTCATATGATTAAAGTTTTTTTTTTTTAAAATCTTTTTAAATATGTGTTTAAGTAATGAAGGGATTGGAATCAAACATTGTCTCCTCAAAATAGAGTGATTACTTTGTAAAATTTGCTAAGCCTAATTTTTTTATGCCATTCATGCATGCGTGTGCATGCAAACACACACACTCTATCCTATTTCCCATTATTTTTGTTATCTACAAAGGTTGTAGTTCGTTATATGTGTATATCATGTCATACTCTTGCTTTATACTTTAGTCCTAGTGTTGATGGTGTATTCGTAGACCCAGTGATGTAGCTTACCTAGAACAACTTGAATGGTAGTGTTGAGGGAAGGTTTGGTGGTGATAAGTTTAGATTTACTCAACGAAATGATGGTGTTATACCATGGGGTTTGTTGAATATGTTACAAGATCATAGGTATTAAGGCTAGAAACGTTTCAGATGGCCACATCTAGTAGTGGTTGGGCTGAGTAAGGGTGTAGATTGGTGGGTGGGTTGTGCCTTGGTGGAGTGTGTGTGTAATGGGGTAAATGGATGGGGGAACACATTCTAAGAAAAAAATTGATGGAAGAATTAAAACAATCAAATTGAAATGTAGTTGCATGTATGAGGGACTAAAGTAGTACTTATAACTTGGCTGTTTATGTCATTTCAATATAATAAATTTTCTCTATTCGCAAAAATGACTAAATTAATTTGTTTTTAAGTGAGAGGAATACATATGATATTTAAATCTTGCTCCTAGCCATAGCACAGTAGATAAAGTCAATGATATCCAATTGGTCTCTTAATAAGTAATAATTTGCATTGATTTTTGTTGACTATTTGCTTTAAGGTAGTCAGTCCTTGTGTTAAAAGAAGCTAGTAGTTCTTGTTTCACAATCTTTCCACGATTAGTACATGGGGAAGTAGCAACATCGAATGAGAGTTGGGAAGCATTACAAATATAACCAAGGATGAAAAACCATATAATTAGGCTAAAGGAATTCATTCCACCCCTGGCTTTTGGCATACTAGCTTTAGGTTCTATTCTGGCAATAGTGATGATCCCAAGGGCTTGCAACAATTCAATTACAGGTGAAAAGCTGCTTATGGTAGAAACTTTGATATGCCAAAAATCATGTAACCATACATTCGTTGGGTAAACTCAAGCTCAAGTGGTTGATTTATGTCCTTGTTTAGGAATTTAGCCTATAATTCTATTTGGGAAATTTAAGTGGTTTTGTGAAAAAAAAAATATTCATGCTTGATTGAATTGCTTCAAGGGTTCACCATAGTTTTGGGATGTGATGTGAGCATTTGTATGGAAAGCAAGACTCCAAATAAGTTTCTTCAGGGGTTTTGTGGCCCCAAAGAGTAGAAAGTGAATCTAATCCACATGGGAGTAGAAAGTAGTTTTGTTATTATGCACAAATCACGAAGGTTTCATATGTTCTGATGATCAAAAGTGCAAATAGTGTTTGTGATTTAGATCACTTGTTTACGCAATGAATGGTTGTTTAGTTGAACTATTGGGGTTGTATTTTGTTCTTTTTTTGCATTAAATGATTTACTTTGGTGTTCGGTTTAAAGACAATAGAGTAAAAGTAAAAAATAAAATTTTGAAGTATTAAGAATACCCTAACACCACACCCCTAAATTTTTTTCATCATTTTATAAATTTATTGTTTTCAAATCCTTTGCCAACATGCTTCTCTTGATTGAGCCCATTAACATTGCCTATTGTTGTTGTCCTTCACTAGAGAGTCCCCCTTAGCCCCTGCTGTTGTTGAAGACCTACCCCAAGCCCCTCCAAGTTGAACCCATACTCAACCCTTTCGGTTGCCTCACTCACCCATTGTCGTCTTTGTTGTAAGTGACCTTACTCAAGTTCCTCTTGTCTTTTTGATGGCATCTTCCAAGATCCCTCTTATTGTTGGCAACCTACCTTGTGCCCTCTCTTGCCTCAACCTTTCCCAAGCTTACCTTCTTGTTTTTTATGACATCTTCCAAGCCCCCTTTTATTGTTGGCAACCTTCCTTGTGCCCTCCTCTTGCATCAACCTCTCTCAAGCTTCTTTAAGTTGCACTTACCCTTGCCCCTTCATATTGTCTCCCTTGCCTATCATTGTCTCCATAACCGACAATCTCCCTTGAGCTCCTACTATTGTCAATGGTCTTGCCTAAGCTTGTCTCTGCAACTGACAATCTCTCTTAAGCGAGCCCCTATCATCAATGGTCTTGCCCGAGCCCCTCCACAATTTAAATACAAGAGAGAAATATATATTTTTAAGTATTTTACTTGTATTCTATCAAATATAAAAAGATATTTCATTGCATTTGATTTGTATCTAATTAAACAACTATATAAATTTAAGATATATTAGATTCTAATTACTTTGCATTTATAAGATGCATACTTTTTGAAAACATACCATTCAACCCCTAAATCAATTGAAACCCTAAATCTTAAAATATGTGAAGCCTTACAAGACCTTTACTCATCAGTTTCTCTGGCATAATTAAATTATCAAAAGATTTATGGCATATTAAACTAAGTACTAAAAATAAAGAACATGATTTGTATTTCTATAGAAATAGTAAGCAATTTAGATAGTTAAACCTATAAGAGATTTGATGCTTTTTACAAATTGGGACAAATAATTTGAACCAATGTTGGTCGCTTCATCCACAGAAGCCATCATTATTATCATCAAACAATCAGTAAATTGAAAATATTCCATAACAAATTATAAATTAGAATTTACGAAACTAATGTTAATAAAATAAAGAGATTAATTTCCAAAACTAAACTAACTTCTTATTTATAGTTCAGAAAATATGGTTGCATGTGTTGCATATTGTTTGCCATATAGATAACAAATCAAGACTTTGGCATGCACACCATCTTGATATCCTTTGTTGATCAAATGCAAAAAAGCATGTGCTGCTGGATTTTTAGAATTAACGATTGACATTCAAACATAAGCCAACAATTTTGTAAGTTTAGAAACATAACCAACATTGTTTAGCAAAAAGTTGAAAAATCTGAGGATCAATGACAAAATATATCATAAACAATTTGCTAGTGACTTACTAGAGCAATTTAACCAGCTAGAAACAACTAATAATAGCTCAGAGAATCCATTTTGTAAAAATCGGGGAACTTAACTTAAGGTCCTATTGTTTCTAAAAAATATTGTTGAGTATTTTTTTGGTTCAACTATGCAATTGTACGCTATTTTGAATGTGGTTGTTAACATAATGGATCTAGTTACTTATGTTTTGAATGTGGTATTGAAATAATGGATTTTGTTATTCAAGTTTGAATGCAAATAATGATTGATTCCATATTCAGATTTTGAATAACTAGATCCATTATGCTAGTAACTTAATTCAAAACTGTAATGACCATACATCCAAAATAGTAGAAACTAAATTCATAGTTTGGACAAAAATTTTTTATCAATGAATTAAATATAATTACTGGTCAAATATTAGGGTCTCAGTGATAAAGCCTTACAAAATTCATCACAACATTCCATAGTCACCATTAGCTTTATTCTAGCTGTGATTGGTGTTTTGAATTGTCAATTTTCATCCATTTCTGTTGAGTATTCTGAGGTCTCAAATATATTTTTCTCAAATTATTTTGAACAACTTCTATCCATTTAATTTTTTGGTCTATTAATTTTACTCTAATTTTATCAACTCATTTGGCAGGCATATTTTCTACCAATGTAGTATTTAGTATACAATTATAACCACCTAAGTTTATTTACAATTATCTTATCTTTAGATACCACTTTGATCATTCATCTAATATAATAATTCCTTATTATATCCATCCTAATTATATCGTATTTCCATATTAAAATTCTCATTTTACCATTACCTATATGGTTTTCAATGATTTTCTTTTAACCCAATGTTCAAATCAACGTAGCATCATTGAACTATTTGTGGTTTGACATGATTATCCTTCATGCCTCCATGTTATTATTTGATTACAAAAAACTATCAATATTTTTTATATTTTAACCATCAAAGTTTAACTTTAGAAGTTATATTCATTCTTTTGTATAATATATCTAAGATGCTTAGAACTATTACTCCTAGCTATCATTTTATCTTATTGAATAATAATTATTGACACCACACCCATTAAAATTACCTGTCATATACTCAACCATTTACTACTAATTTTGTGGCGCCTATCCTCTAAATGTTTCCTCCATTGTTCTAATTTTTCTTTTATTGTAGTATACGTCTCACTATTAAAATTATATTATATACAAAAATATGCACTAAGACATCTCACTTTAAATAGCCGTTGTGTAAGAACATCTATGATTGATGCCAAAATATGTAGAGTTAAGGCTATGAACCTTCAATAATTGAAAAGTATTTAGCCATTCTACAACTACTTGTAGTATTTGTGAATATTCTTCCTTTTTACATATCTTTAATTCCTCTACATATCTTCGTCACTCTTTTTATAGCTTATATACGCATATCTTTTTTTTGGTTTTCTATGCATCTTTATTAGCTGTTATAACACAAAAATAACATTTGTGGCAAATCTTCCTAGCATGAATCTAAATTAGTTCATCAAAATTCATTTCAATTTTGTAAACCTATGTTTTGTCACTCTCTCCCATAATGCTATTGCATGACTCATAAATCTTATTTCTTTATAATTAGCATAATTTTGAGCGTTATTGTTATGCTTAAATATTAGCATCAAAAGGCTTCTTCTCTAATTATTTTACACCCTTTCAGGTTTCAAATTTGTATAGGAAAGAATTTTTTTAACCAGACAATTTTAATACATGCATAACTCACCACTTCTCAATGGGTAATTTATATGTACCCTAAGTCTAATATATATGTGATTTTTTTTTTAGAGTTAGATCCACTACATTTTTTTATCACCTATAATATGCTTCACTATATTAGTCATTTTTTTTGCAAAATACTCTCTTCTTTAAAATTCTTATTTAATAATTTTTCTCCAAAGTAATATTTTCATATTTCTTCTGTCTTAACTTTAACCAAGATCCTTAAATCTTTTATATCTTCCCTTAGCTATTATATATAGTTTTTTAAAATTAAAGAAAAATTGGTTCTTTTCTCCTTTCTTAGTATCAAGTTATTATATAGATCATTCAAAACTATAGTTTTTTTTCTTTATTCACTATTCTCTTGGTAAGAATTCTAGCGTTTCGAGTCTTATGTCTAATGTACAATTTATTTTCTTTAATAATCCTTTGTATCTCCTCATTTCACCATTGTCTCCTTATAAGTGTATAGTTTATTTTTACACTGTACTGAAATTTTGACATCAGTCCTCTTAATGGAATTAACCATCTTAGTCCAATTTAAGTTTGCACAAGTAAAGAATCTCAATTTACCTCTCTTAGCATCTTATCTTGAAAAATATATAATTTCTCACCTTCAAATTCCTCTACCTTATTTTAGGGTGATTATTTCTTTTCATTGTTTTTATTTTGCTTTTGAGATATAAATTCATAACTGCTATCATATGCTGTGTGGTCGTCAAGCTTTCTCTTAGTACTTATAATTTTTGAAAGAAATTTTTTTCTTCTAAATAAGAGGAAATCTGTTTGTGATTTGGTGATTCTATTTATTGAAAATAATGAAGTGTTCTTCTTGTGTATTATAAAATATTTATTTACTGTTGCATGATTATATAATATTTCCAAATCATGATAATTTCTCTATTCTCACAAAAAAAAAAAAAGTGATACTGAGATTGACACAGCCTCTTTATGGACCTCTCATACATGCTTTTGAAAAATCAGCATTGCATTACGTTTCTCCTATAAATTAATGAAGGGAGCTACAAATTGGAGGCATAAATGAGTGGAGTTATCACTTGAGGAGGAAAACAAATTAATTCTTCAGATGAAACCATAAGATTCTGCAACAAATAAATAGGGTAAGTGAAACAGTATAAAACTTGTTGTACTCTCGTTCTTAAGTGATCAATGTGGGAGGGATTTGCAACACCAAAGAGAGAAGAGGGCATGGATCATCAGAAGTGAATGACTGATTTTTTTTTTTACCGAACAACCCACCTTTATTAAAGTTGCGAGCTAGTTTCTATTGTCCCATATCGAAATTTATTTGGCAATCTGCAGTACACACATTTCATGTTCTATGTAGCATTCAGAGATCATTCAGCTGTGCACTGCTTTGCTTGCTTCAAAATTAGAGAAAGAGCACATGACGTTTGAGGTTCACTCTGTTGGGGCTTGATGAATTGATTGTGGACACATTTGAGGTCTAGATTGTTTTGATTTAGGTATTAAAAATATTACAGTTGAGTTGAATGTGAATATATTAGTTGATAACCCTTAATCATACAGTTTATTACATATTCGATAGATAAAGGGTAACTTTCCACTCATCGTGGGCCCAACTTGGGATTCTCGGCCATGCTAATCTGCCAATTTGACTAGTGTTTTTGAACCAGTTTATCGGATTTATTTTTTTGCTTGGTTTCAATTTGGCATCTTAATTGTAGAAGTAATTGGATTTTCATTTTAATCCAACTTGTTTGTTTTGGAGGATGGGCCTATTTTTCATAATCAATTTACCTTTTTCGTTTGTTTGGCCTACATGTTGACTTCATTGTTTACTTAATGGTATTTCATGATATATTGGCTACGAGCAGAAGCTCAGTTACATCAAAACAAATGCGTGTGATATATTGGCTACGAGCACAAGCTCAGTTCATGATATATTGTCCAAGTTTTAAGAGTGAAAAGTGTTAACTATCCATATAATGCCGCTGCCCTTTGCTTTTATATCATTGTTTTTTGTTAATGTTTTTACATCTCCCTGGCCAGCATCCATGGACAGTGTGCTATCATTATGTTTGACGTCACCGCTCGACTTACTTACAAAAACGTTCCAACTTGGCACAGAGATCTCTGCAGGTGAGTATAGAGCACCACCCATGCTTCCTCTATAAGTTCATAAAAGAGTTAATATTATCTTGCTTATTTGCCTTTGTTGCTGTCAGGGTCTGCGAGAACATTCCTATTGTTCTTTGTGGAAACAAGATTGATGTTAAGAACAGGCAGGTGAAGGCAAAAATGGTAACATTTCACAGGAAGAAGAATCTTCAGTACTATGAAATCTCTGCCAAAAGCAATTACAATTTTGAGAAGCCATTCTTATATCTAGCAAGAAAACTTGCAGGGTATTACCTGTAGTTTTAATTATGTTAAGACTGCAGTTGAGTTTTTTTTTTCTTAATCAATAGGTTAGTCTTTTAATTTTTATACGTGTCACGCAGGGATCAAAACCTTCACTTTGTTGAGTCCCCTGCTCTTGCTCCTCCAGAAGTGCAAATCGACCTTGCTCAACAGCAACTGTAAGTGAAGATCAAAGCTTCATTAATTTCTACCTTTTTTCCTTATTTAACCCGTTGAAAGGAAATTTTAAATTAGATGAGAAATTTTGTAAGTGAACTTTTCTGTGCAGCTCACCTTAGTCTGTTGGTTGAGATCTTTGACTATCAATTAAAATGTCTTAAGTTCGAAGCTTGCATATATGATATGTGTGTAAGTTTGTTTAAGGTTTCATTTGGAACGACTTTCTTACTATTTCTTAAAGCAGCTTTCTAGTTCAAAATTAAAAAAATTATACTAAAAAGTTGCTTTAAGAAGCAGTAAGAAAGCCATCCCAAACAAAACCTTAATTGCCCCAAATGTCAAAAAATTTTTTTTTTTTAAGCTGTTAGTTTCTCTATGCGAGTATGATGCATTTATTTCTTACAGAAGTACAGGATGCACAATTATAAAAATCAATATCTCTTAGTAGAATTGTACAACCGAAGAAATTTATTTCAGTATGTTCTTCAACTAAATGCTAGCTTTGTTTACTTAACAGGCATGAGCAGGAGCTTGCTGCTGCAGCTGCCCAGCCCCTTCCTGATGATGATGACGAGTCTCTCGATTAAGGTGAATGCCCTGAATAACCTGGAATGAGTTATGGTCTAAACAAACGCCTTGTATGTTGAGGAGATTTATTCGTTCTGAATGCAAGGCGATTTATTATCAGAATGTTACTAGAGTCGATTGCATACTGTCATTTACCTTTATTCCATTTAAATTGGTTGTAAACTTGTGGTGTGTGGAATTCCTGTTTCCAAATGTTTTTGAGGTGTCAAAATTTTCAGTATTTCTGAGATTTTGAAATTTTCATCTTTTCTTGTGATTTTAAATTTGCTCTATTGAACCTCTATATTAAATCAAAGTTCTTTGCATCTATATTCTCTCGTACATTTAGAAAGCCAATTCATACAGAGCATGGAGAGAAAAGTTGAATAAGATTAATTTGAAAGCAGTTTAAATTGAGTCAAATGAATGATACCTCTATCTTTTTTTTTCCCAGTAACTTTAGAATGTTTAGGTCAGATGCTTTGATCACACATAATGTAATGTCAAATGGGTTAAAATTCGTATATAAATTGATGATATGTTATTTGTAGTTGCATGATTGAAACTGAAGCTGATCTTCTTAGTATGAATAACTCGCTTACAATTTAGCCATAAGAGAAGTACATAAAACATGTAATAGATATAAGCCACAACAAACTATAAGCTTTAATCTAATTAAAACAAATTTCAATAGCATGTGATCGGCAAAAAGTCACTCTTCTTTTTGTGTGGAGTTCAGACCGTCAAACTGTTTGGATTTACTGTGTATTTATTGAATATTTAATGTGTATTTGTAAATATTTAATTGTGAGTATTTGTTGATTTACTGTATATTTATTGAGTATTTATTAATTATGTATAAATACTCGTCAAATAATCAATAAATACACAACAATCATGAAGGTTCTTTCCGTTCAGACTTTGCAAATAATAATTCTTCCTTCTTTTGACTCAGAGCAGATATCAATGTACATAACAAGTGCAAGTAGGTTGTTGCGAGTATGCAAGGAGCTAGTATTCTAGCCATTAGCAATGTAATAAAATTGAGTACATAGCGTTGGAACAAAAATTATTTGTCGGTCACTTTCAAATTTTATATGGACCTGTCAAGGTTCTACTGTGGTTGTGTTGGAGCCATATCGATGACTGGGAATGTAATGGAGTTGAGTTATGCTTAATTTGAGCTTGATTTATAGGCTAAGTCTGGAGCTCGAACTCGAGTTTAAAAGGCGAGTTTGAGCTCAGCTCAAAAAAATAAAAATGGGCTCACGAGCAGGTCTTGATATATCGGCAAAAGCAAAGGAAGAATATTTTGTGAGGCGAAGTTTTTTGTTTTCTTGGGTACAACTACAACTTCGCTCTTTTTTTTTCTTTCTTAAATTGTTGTAACTTTATTAATGCGAGGCAACTTTTTCTCTTAAAGGTCAGTTTTTTTTTTTTTTATTTCTTTTTTCAAATGCTAACTATAACACAACTCTCCTTGGCCTATTGGTTGAGAGCTTAGGCTTCCAACTAAGAGGTCCAAGGTTCGAGTCTATGTGTATGCGTTGTGTGTGTGAATTTGTCTTAAATGGCCTAAATGTCCAAAAAAAAAAAAAAATGCTAACTATACTAACAGCTTTTGTAACGAGAAAAAAAAGATATTAGCTATTTTTTTTTTTACGTAAAATACCTGTCAGCTATTTTATTGCAAGTCAACTCGTGAGTAAAGTCTCACCAGTTTATTGGCAAAAATTAGTCATCTTTCTAGGTACGAACATTAAAAAAAAATTGTCACGTTTAATGTACGCGTAGTCAAAAGTGCAAGTAAAGTGCAGTAAGAAAAACACAGTTAAAATGCACCTAAAGCGCACAGTCAAAGCAACATTCATGTGTCAAGTTTTTATTGGATGTCCGGACCTAGAAATAGGTCCGGTGACTGGACGTAATAATTTGTCCTCTTTATTAGATGAGTTTGAGCTTGAGCTCGTTCTTAAGTTGGCTTGGTTCACTTGCATCCTTATCCTTATTGATGGCTACTATTTATGTTGGGGATGTCAGGATTATAACTTATTTATGGTTTAATAAAAAATAATACCTATGATAATTTTATTTTATTTTTAACGCTAAAAATACCATGGATTTAGTGGAACTAAATTTAAATTTTGATTTTGCATTTAGAAATCAATAAGATATTTAATTACACATTAATCATAATTAAAATTTGATTTGAAAAAATTAGTAGATATGATCAAACTAACTTAGGATTTTTTTGTATGGCACAGCCTTTTATGCCAAATCCAAGCGTCAGCAATGCTAGATTTTAACATTTTCTTAGTTTTTTTCAATGTCTAGTAATTATATAATATTCTGTGTATTGTCTTTAACCGCATTAAATTTTTTGTCATGCAGCTGACTAATAAATATTAAATTATATTTTAAATAATATGACCTTATTGATAGTTGAATTCTTACTGATTGTCCTAATTTTAATTACATTTTCCTCCAATATTGTTATCAAATATGATAATCACACCATCTCTTTGTTCTATTGATACAAATTTATATTTGTCTTTTGTCAAATATCTCATGCTATCACTAGTTCTGCTGTGAAGGCATTCTTATAAAATGAATTCGCAATATTAATTTTCATCATTTTTTATTAAATACTTACATCATTTTTATACTTTTAATAATACACTAATTTTTTATTTAAAAAATGCTTTAAGGAGTAGAAAGAAAGACCTAAATTATCATTAAATGAGCACTTTATAAAACTCTTAATGCAATTGAATATATTTATCCTTACTCAATTTTTTATTAAAAAAAATGTAAAATAGATTTTAAAATTCTTAAATTTATTTAAAAATAAATATATTATATAAATAATAAATTATCTCTTAAATTACATTCATTTTTAAATTAACTCACCATATTAACCAAATTTTAATTACATATTCTCACACAATATTTCTCGTTCGTTATTTAGCTTCCACAAACCCCAACAAACCCCCTCGCCACAGTTCCCTCCACCTCACAATCCGCGATGTTAGAAGCTACTGATGACAACGAGCCCATCGCCGCCGCCGGAGAAGCTGCCTCCATCTCGAAAAGCGCGAGGAAGCGATTGCTGAAGCAGCAGCGGCTTCAGGCAAGGAAGATAGAGCGTAAAGCGGCGGAGAAGGAGCGACGGCGGGAAGATCTAGAGCGCCGGCGCCGCGAGTGGGAGGAGAAACTTGCCGACAAAACGGAAGAGGAGAGGACGCGGCTTGTAGAGTCGCGGAAGGAGACGAGACGGGAGCGGATGGAGAAGAGGACGGAGGAACGCAGCAAGCGTGCTGAGAGGCTACGAACGGCAGCAGTGGTTGGCCAGAAGGTTGTTCTTGATCTCGAGTTCTCCGATCTCATGAGTCCTAGTGAGATCCAGAGCCTTGCACACCAGGTGATGTACCCATATTTCATTCTCACGTGCCCTGATATTGTTTTATTTAGAGATAAATAGCGTTATCTGATTCCTATAATTAAATTTCGAAGAAGTGTTTAATTATACTGAGCATTGCGTTTTCCTGTTTGGGTGACTTGGCTCATCTTTATGATCATTATGTTTTGCTTTATGCCAATTATTTTTGGATGATTTTACCAATCCTCCATTTGTATTCAGTCATGTTAGATGCTTCACGAGGTGTCAACTTTTTTTTTTTTTTTTTTTTTTTTTTTAAGTTTTTTTTTTGTATATTCTTAAGTTTTTTTTACACTTCTTCTTGTAATATTAATCTCGATCCATCATATATCTTTGATTGAACTTTCTCCTTAAACTCTGTTTATCCACTTTAGTGCTGCATCTTCTGCCATTTACTGTACATACGCATGGTACGCAATCTTATTTTTCATTACCCATACAACACATACTACTGAAGTTTATTTTTCATAAAATAATCTTCAATAATTTACTCCCATAATCCCTTTATTTCTCTGATATATTCATAATCACTCCACACTTGCAGCATTTACTAGATATTTATTCTCAGCAACATGCACGAGTGATTTTTTTTTTTATGTGAAGAATCATTTCCATATACTATTTTGGTCTAAGTATATTTTTATAAAATTTACCAACAACAACAACTATACATCCGGTGTTCCATGTATCCCAACTTAGTATGACCATTGGAGATCTTGCAGCAAGTTCTGAGTTACCAGCGACACTGACAGAGGATTTAGAGGTGATTTTAGAACCCTTGGAGTTGATGGGGGTCCGTTAGAGAGAGGATAGAACTAAGGAAGTCCTGATCAAATGGAAGAGCCTTCCAGACTACGATGCCACATGGGAACCTTATGAGAGGCTGAAACATCAATTTCTCCTTTCACCTTGAGGACAAGGTGATTATTTGGAAGGAGGGTAATGTTAAACCGGTCTCTATTGGATCGGTCCAACCGACCCCTTTTAATGGGCCGGTTCAGGTTTAAAAAAGAAGGGGCTGCAGCAAGAGAGAGATAGAGGAGGTGGGGCCCACTAGAGATTAAAATTCAAATATTTGGAGCCAAAGGAGGGGCACTAAGGGTTAATCTGTCTTTTGGCTTTAATGATCAATTTTATATTTTTTAATGATTAATTGTATGCTTTAAGTATGAGGGAGGAATTAGGGTTAGGGTTATGAATTATTTTGTGGCTGATTTGGAGTTCTTGTTCTTGGTGTCTTAGGCCTTAGATTCGTCTAGGGATTGAGAGAGAACGATCCTCCCCTCGAATTGAGGATCAATTGTATCTTGCTTTGTTTCTTTCATTAGCTTTGTTTTCTTCAATAAACATTATCGTTTGTTGATTTTTCCCATTAAATTTGTAAAGTGATTTGTTGTTTTCATCTCTCTTGTTTGGGTTTACTTAAAATCTTCAAGTATTTACTGGCACAATGTTTTGTAAAATTAATATGGCTTCATGTCGGGTTGGTCTACTATGAAAGCTATGCATTTATTGAGAAGTTTGATGGAGAAGTATAGAGAGAATAAGGAGGATGTTTATTTGTTATTTATTGATTTTGAGAAAAGATATGATAAAGTTCTAAGAGAAGTGCTCTGAAAAGTTCTTGAAAAGATAGGAATTAATAATATTTATATTCAAGTCATTAAAGTTATGTATGCAGGTGCTGTTACTACTGTTCAAAGTTCAAACACAAGGTGGTTTGACTAAGTATTTTTTCGATTTCAGTTGGATTACATCAAGGATCAGTTTTAAGCCTACATATTTTTTTTCCTTTAGTCATGGATGTTCTTATTAGACATTTACAAAAGGATGTACCCTGGTGTATACTTTTTTACTGATGATATTCTTCTTGTTGATAAGACTATAAAGGGAGTTGAAGGAAAACTTGAATTATAAAGGTTAACCTTAGAGTCTAAATGTTTTCGTTTGAGTAGATTTTGAATCAAATACATGGACTATAATTTTAATAGTAATAGATCTAGTGTGAGGAATGTGACTTTAGGCGATCAAGTCATTAACAAGAGTACACATTTTAGATATCTTTGTTCTATTGTTTAAAGTGATGGTAAGTCATTAAAAAGAGTACACATTTTAGATATCTTTGTTCTATTGCTCAAAGTGATGGTGAAATAGATGGGGATATTATTAGTAGAATTCAAGTTGGATGGTTGAAGTGGAGGAATACATCGGGCCTGTTGTGAAATAGAAAGTACCCTCAAACTTAAAGGGAAATTTTATAAGATGGTGGTGAGACCTGTAATGCTTTATGGTGCATAATGTTGACCATTAAAAAAAAAAAAATGAGTTAAGTGTTGCAGAGATGAGAACTCTTAGCGACAGAATGCAGAACAAGTATGTATGTAAAAAGATTGGAGTATCTCCAATGGCTGATAAGATTAGAGATAGTTGTCTTAGAAAGTTTGGTCACATGAAACATTGGCCTTCCGATGACCGAATTGGAGAGTAGATGTATTAGATTTGGTCGATGTTAAGAAAGGTAGAGTGATGTAGAACTATGTCCTCATCATAGAGGTATACCTAAACAGACTTGGATAGAAAGTATTAGAAATGATATTCTTTTTTATTAGATTTGAATGAGAATTTGACTCTTAACATGACACAACGGAGAAAATGGATTCATATTGTTGAGTGAGATAAAAGTTTGATATTGTTGTTGTCGTAATATAAATTATAATTATGTTTCAAGCATTTTAAAATATTTCGGAGGGATGTGTTTCTACCTTTTCAATGAAGTGTGATTCTGTGGTAGTTTCATTTTTTAATTTTCTCAGCTCTGAATTAATGATAAATGCATATATCTAATAGTGCAGAGAATAGTTAGATTTGCAGCTTATATTGTAACTCTTTTGTTTATATCTTATTGAGAAATCCTTGCTAAGACATGTATGTTTGGGATCACTATCTTTGCTTGTGGTTAATCAGTGTTTTATTTTACAGAGAAGCATTTGCCTGTCTTTGGAAATTGTTACATAATACTTTTAGCTCTTGTATGTAACGAGGAATGAGTATCTTCTTAAACATGATTGATATGAGTCATTTTTTTGTGTGACTAACTGTAGTTACAGATTATGTATTGCTATGCAGTGAATGGTAAATGTGAGTATCCAGCTCATCTTTGGTTGACAGGATGTAATGGCAACATAGGAAGCCAATTGCAAAGGCTTCCTGGATATGATAAATGGATTATTGAAAAGGAGAGCAGGCCTTATATTGAAGTATTTCAGGACCATAAAGAAAAGCTTATTTATTTAACAGCTGATGCAGAGACCACCCTTGAGGAGCTTGATACGAACAGAATTTATATCATCGGTGGGCTTGTTGATCGGAACAGATGGAAAGGTATTACGATGAAGAAAGCAAATGAGCAAGGGATCCAATCAGCAAAGTTGCCAATTGGAAACTATATCAAGTTAGCAAGCTCGCAGGTTTTTTTTCCTCAACTGAAGTAAATCTTTATTCGCCTTTCAAAATTTTCATCCTTTTATTATAGTTGAGAATAAGCCACCTTCTACCTTTGCTAACTATATGCAATGACTTCAATTGATACAATTCGAATTTTTATTTGCTTGTTCTTTGTCTTCAAAACTTTTGGGTAGGAAATATTTGTTTGGGCTCTTCTTTTCAGTATCATTTGATGAAGTTATTCAACAAATTTGTTATCCATATTTAGTTGGGAAAGTTTTCTATATTTCATTAGGAACATGCTTTATGCCTTTTTCCCTTTTTGAATGACTTTCATAAATACACTACGAACTGTTATTTGCTCATGCTTTGCCTTCAAACCTTAGGAAGTTTCTGTTTGGCTAGTTCTTTGCTATATTATGAGATGAAACTTCTTTAACTAAATTGTTTACCATATTCATATTTCATGAATAGAACCTCAATTCCTTTATTTTTTTAATTCTGGACACCTGGAGAAACATTCTTTTTTTTTCACTGCCTTTACTAGACCTCAAGTTAAAAAAAAATTATTTGTTTAGGAATGTCTCCATCACTCTACTTCAGAAATTGAAGGTATACTGGTACTTTTTTTTTTCTTACTGCAGCTACCTGAGAAACAAATGAAAAGTTATTCGAGTCTATTAACATTTGTTCGTGACTCTCCCTTTCCAATGGACATTAGCATCATTTTTTTCTTTATGAGCATTCTACCTAAAAGTGGGACAAAGGCTTGATGTTGTTGTTGTTGTTGTTATTGAGCATTCTACCTAAAGCATTTTTTCTTTTAGAGATTTACCTACTTAGTGCTCAAAGCCTCAAAACTTAAACATTTACAGATTTAACACCTCACTATTTACTCTCATAACACTTAAAACTTTAAATAACAAAAAAAGTACACTCATTCCCCTTAAAATTTCACAACCCGTTCATATTCCATTACGACTTCTTCATATTCACATGTCATTGATCCCATCACCACCTTCACATGCCATCAGTTCCGTCACCAATTTCGTACACTGCCAGTCTCGGCACCAGCTTCACGCATCGTCGATCTCATCGATGCCAGCAAGATCTCTTCTTGGCCTCCTCACCCCCTTCCTAGCAAGATCCTCATCATGACCCTTGTCTCCAGCTCATCAAATCATCCCGTTAAATATTCATACATGTTTAAATCCAGTTCCATCCCCACCATTGCTGGTTGTCGGTTCCATCACTAGCTTCTCACACTATTATTTGTAAATGAGCACAGTATGAGAACTCATATTTTACTCTTTTTGCCATTTGTAAATCTATAAATACAATGCCTTTAGCTCATTTTGTAATCATTTTTCATATTATAATAAAACTACTTTACATCTCTTCTCTGCTTGCTCTCGGCTCTCCCTCTCTATTTCTTTCGCCGCTTGGTTTCTTTCATGGTATCAGGAGCTAGTACGAGACCATGGTAGATCAAGAATTAGCGAATTCCCACCCTCCCTCATCCGCTGCAATCTCCGGCGACACCACCACAGAGCTTCACATTCCGGTGCCGCTCAAATTCCTCATCTCCAACATCAAGAACCTGGTTCCGCACGCCCTCACCGTCGACAACTACGCCATCTGGCGAATACAGCTTCTACAACAGTTCACCGCAAACAGGTATGCCGGCCACCTCAATGGCACGGTTTCTTGCCCCTCCGATGCCAACGCCACCGAATTCCAACGGTGGAATCTTGTCGACAACAATCTTCTTTCGGCCCTGTTCTCCACGATTTCTCCCACAATTCTCCCCTACGTCATCTCGTCCTCCACGGCTCGAGAGGTTTGGGTAACTCTTGAACGTCGCTTACAACCTTCTTGCCGATCACGCGCCATTCAGCTCAAGAACGAGCTGCACACTGTCCAAATGCGTGATCTAACAATGCAACAATATCTCACACGGATAAAATCCATTGTCGACAACATCGCCGCGTCGGGGTCTCACATCGACGTAGAAGACGTCATCATCTACATTCTGAACGGCCTTCCGTCAACCTACAACTCCTTCAAAGCCGCAATCCACACCTATCCTCTTCCTCTTGATCTTGATAATCTCTATTCCTTGCTTTGTAGCGAAGAAATTAACGTTCATCAAGAATTGGCGCGAGACATTGCTGTATCCTCAGGAGCCACCGCTCTTTACACGACTTCCACAAATCAAGCTCGCGGACGCTCCCAATGCAGATTCAGCAAGAACAAGAATTACACCACAGGATCCACTCAGCCCGTCCAAACGGGTCAGACTACCAATTCGACCATGTCAGATATGCAACAAGATCGGGCATATTGCCTTAAATTGTTAGCACATGAACAACCCAAATTTTGCTCCTACGTCTCAAAAACCGATTCCCGCCTTTCTTGCTCAACAGAACTTCTCGGCTAATCAAGATTGGATCATTGACTCTGGCGCGTCCAATCACCTCACACCGGATATCAACGCTCTTCGTCATCCTTCGGTATACCAGGGATCGAAAAATGTCTCCATAGCCAACGCGTCTCAACTTTCGGTCACGCACTCTGGTCAGGGACTTCTTCCCCTACCCGACACACCGTGTAAGCTAATTTTACGTAAACTACTTCATGTTCCCAAGTTATCACATAATCTTCTGTCTGTCTCTCAACTTACTACTGACAATCCCATTTCAATAAGCTTTGACGCTAATGGATGTGAAATTAAGGATCTTCAGGACCACCGTCAGCTTCTTCGTGGGCATCTACATGACGGGTTATACCATCTCAACAGCCGATCCGGTACCGGTATCACTGCTCTGCACGCCAATCTCAACCAGGAGCGTCTCTGGCACACGCCTCGGTCATCCTCATCACCGACTGCTCAAAACTCTTCTTCGAAATTTACCTCAGCTCAATCATGTTTCTGCCTCTATTTCTTGCAATTCTTGTAGTGTGGCTAAAAGTCACAAAATGATCTTTAATACAACTTTTTCCAATTCTGTTTCTCCGTTCGATCTCGTGCACTCCGACGTTTGGGGGCCGGCTCCCCTCCCTTCCATAGACGAGTTTAGATACTACGTTGTGTTCATTGACGATTTCAGTAGATTCTCGTGGATGTACTTAATGCGAACTAAAAATGAAACTTTTTCTAAATTCAAACTATTTTGTCAGCTGGTTAAGACACAACATAACAGAACACCGAAAACTCTCCGGTCCGACGGAGGAGGCGAGTTCACCAGTGCGGAATTCACTACATTCTTGAACAATCACGGTATTCACCGGCAACTATCCTGTCCGCACACCCCCGAACAAAACGGGCTGGCGGAAAGGAAACACAGACATGTGCTCGATCTCACCAGGACTCTGCTTCACGAATCCAATTCTCCTGCAAAACTCTGGGCCAAAGCTGCGGCCACGGCAAACTACCTAATCAATCGGCTTCCGTCGTCCTCAATCAACCTTCAAATGCCATTCCATCGTCTACACGATCGGGATCCTACGTATCACCATCTCCACATTTTTGGATGCCAGTGTTTCCCTTGGTTCCGACCATACGCGAACAACAAACTATCTCCAAGGTCCCGGGAACGCGTCTTTATTGGGTATTCACCAATTCAAAAAGGTTACAAGTGCTTGGAACTGCAAACGGGAAAAATCTTCATCTCTCGTCACGTTCAATTCAACGAACTTCAATTTCCCTTCAAACAACAAAACATTACACCGTCACCTCTACCGCAATCACCTAACATCCCGCCTCTACTTCTGGTGCCAAACTCTGTCTGTCACACACACAGCTCCAACACTACTCAACCAGCAGAGATCACGTTTACTACACTTGATGTTCCAGCTATACAAGAGCCAAATTCACCGCCCCTCAACGTGCTGCAACCTGCCCACCTCAATCCAAATCCTGCTCCACCCTCACATCCTATGCAGACGAGACTCAAGTCAGGTATCACTATATCCAAACAGATACTATCTTTGGTCAGCACGGTCTCTCCCGACTCCACGCCGCACACCTACGCCCAAGCCGCAAAACACCCACATTGGCGTAAAGCGATGACAGACGAATTCCAAGCTCTCATTCGTCAAGGAACCCGGACTCTTGTTCCCGCTCCTCCGCACCAATCCATTCTAGGATGTAAGTGGACCTATAAAACAAAATTACTACCGAATGGGCAAGTCGATCGATACAAGGCGCGTCTGGTTACGCAAGGATACGACCAACAGTATGGCATTCACTACAATGAAACCTTTAGCCCGGTTGCAAAGATGCCAACCATACGAATTCTTCTGACAATAGCACTCAATCGGAAATGGCCAATTCTTCAATTAGACGTCTCCAATGCGTTTCTGCACGGCGATCTAGCTGAAGATCTATACATGTTCCAACCGCGAGGCTTCGAGGATAACACGCATCCATCCTTCGTCTGCAAACTTAACAAGTCCTTGTACGGTCTCAAACAGGCGCATCGCAAATGGTTCGAAAAATTCACCGGCTACCTTTAGAATCAAGGATTCAGGTTTAGTCGTTCCGATCCCTCCCTTCTTCTCTTCCAACAAGAAGATATTCAAATTTTTCTACTAATCTATGTGGATGACATTATCGTTACAGGAAACAATCAAGCTGCAATTCAAAATCTCCTCAACAAGCTCAAAATGCTGTTCGATCTTCGTCAGCTCGGTCAGATATCACTATTCCTCGGAATTCAGGTAATCCAGCGGCCCTCCGGTCTCTTCCTCACTCAACAACACTACGCGCAAAAACTACTGGAGGATTCAGGCTTAGCGGATAGCAAACCAACAAGCACACCTACCTCTCCTAAAATCAAAAACTTGGAGGCCAACAGTCAGCTGTTCGACGATCCAACACTCTACCGCCATCTCGCCGGGTCTCTACAATACCTCTCTATTACCCGTCCGGACATCGCGTTCGCCACCAATCAGGTCTGCCAACATATGCACCAACCTACAGTTGAAGACTTTCAATCCCTCAAGCGACTGCTACGGTACATCAAAGGCACACTAAGCTTCGGACTACCCATCACCATCGGCGAACTGACTCTTCGGACTTACACTGATGCAGATTGGGCGTCAGATGCGTCCGACCGGAAGTCCATCTCCGGCTACTGCAGTTTTTTGGGGCCAAACTTGATCTCGTGGTCGGTCAAGAAGCAAGTCACGGTGGCAAAATCTTCAACTGAGGCTGAGTATCGTTCGCTCTCCGCCGCAACATCCGATGTCATTTGGCTCCGACGTCTTGTTGCAGAACTGGATCTCCCTCAAGCCGACCCGACCACTATCCATTGTGACAACACCTCGGCCATTGCTCTCGCCAAGAACCCCGTATTCCACGCACGAACCAAACACATCGAGATTGACTACCAATTCGTGCGCCAACACATAAGCTCCGGGGCTATCACCATCAAACACATCCCGTCCGTCGATCAAGCAGCTGATATTCTTACCAAACACTTCTCCCCTACTCGTTTTCATGAGCTTCGACACAAACTAACCATTCAATCCTTGAACGCTTAGTTTGAGGGAGGCTGTAAACGAGCACAGTTTGAGAAGTCATATTTTACTCTTTTTGCCATTTGTAAATCTATAAATACAATGCCTTTAGCTCATTTCTATAATCATTTTTCATATTATAATAAAACTACTTTACATCTCTTCTCTGCTTGCTCTCGGCTCTCCCTCTCTGTTTCTTTCGCCGCTTGGTTTCTTTCATTATTCCCATCGCTAGATTCACACATTGTCGATCTCCTCGATGCCAATGGGTTCCAATTGTGACCTCCTCGTCCCCTTCCTAATAGATCCCCGTCGCAACCTCCTCTCCTCCGTCTTTTAGTGATCTTCGTCGTTAGTGGAGTTAGAGGGTGATATATTATGTAAATAGTGATGTTTACACATTTAATGTATAAATTGTGACGTTGTGAGTTCAACTTATGTAAATCCCCCTTTTTCCTTCGCCAACAGTAGAATGCTCAACATCGTGGTAATGGAATTACATTGTGATTTTACAACTTTATTTTTGGCAACTTGCTTCTTCCTTCATTGTGGTGAATCCTAACCATTTTATATATACACCAACAAGATCCGTTGCATTCTCGTATGTTTTTTGTGGTTACATTTATTATTTCTTTGAGTCACGCCTTGGTTCCTATGATAGTATCGTATTTTCTTTAGTGAAGATGAGATCATATATTTTACCTTTTTATCAGGCATTCTGGAAACATAACTTCAATTGCATATTTCTTCTACTTCTCGCTTGTTCTGAATTCTAGAAAAAGCAAGGATTTCAGGAAGAGAAATCTGAGTGTTCTTAGTGTACTCTTAGGCCTTCATAGATATATTATAGAGAATTGTTAGTACTATTTGGTACTCGTTATAACAAATTCCATCACATATATATATATATATATTCCTCTTTCAGGTTCTTACCGTTAATCAAGTGGTTGAGATACTGCTCAAGTTTGTAGAAACAAGAGACTGGAAAAAGGCATTCTTTACTGTGATTCCACAGAGGAAAAGAGGCGCTGTTGAGATTGAAGGTGGTGATACCATAGATGTTGCTAAAATTGAAAAAGAATGCAATGAAGAAGGTTTAGAAGCTGATGCCGAGGAAGTGGAAGAGGAATATACTGATAATGAAACTATCAGAACAAAAAAACAACGCTCTGAGTCCAAAACTGAAGAAACTGACATAATAAAAGCCAGTGCAAGTTAGAGTTAGTAATACCATAACTTTGAAGGCGTTTGGGACATCTTTCTTACTGCTTTTTAAAGCAGTTTTTTAATACAAAAAATTTTAAAGCTAGAAATTTTTATACTAAAAAGTTGCGTCAGAAAATATTAAGAAAGCTATTACAAATGAAGTCTAAGACTTCGTTTGAGATGTCTTTCTTACTGCTTCCTGAAATAATTTTTTATTATAAAAATTAAAATTTTTGTACTAAAAAGTTTCTTTAATAAGCAATAAAAAAGCTATCCTAAACGAAGAATAAATTAGAGATGCTCGTAAACTATTGCAAGTTAGAGCAGACTGAAGAACTTTTTTTTTTTGTCACAAAATCTTTGTTAAGTGTATTATTTTTGTTGGTGAATGCAATTAATCCATTCCTTATTTTAATGAAGGGAGAAGAATTTTATTTCATTAGGCAATTGTCACAGTTTGAACATCTTACATGAGAGAATACTTCCGTAGTTATAATCGTCAATGCCATTGCAAGAATTTATGACAGTTTAAATTAGATTGTGAATTGTTTTTATTTTTTTATTATTATATTTTTCAATTTGATTTGGTTACATTAGCTACACTATTATTTGACAGCAAACTGTTCGACAAAATGCCAATAAGATGAATGACTTCTTGGTTGTTTGTTGAATAGAATTTCAGCTTTCATAGCAAAATTATCAGCCGATCAATTTCCTTGTGAGCAACATTGATATTCCGAGCATAATATTTGTTCAAAATATGCTAGAAGAAAATGACGTTCATCCTATGCCAACTTCGGACCTTTCCCTCCCTTCGCGATGCATCATCTCAATTACTTGATGCCACCATTCATTGGCTCCTTCTTTAAGCCTACCAGCAACATATTTCACTTACTGTTTTTGGTGGAATCTTTATATATTCGAAGAATATCTCGACAGCGCACTCCCAATCCAAATAATCTTCGACGCTTATTTGGCCATCGAAGAGTTAGGGTTTACAAGTTCACCTGAAACTCATTGTGATGATGGTTATAGGTTCCATGACGCTTTGGTTTGGAATGAGAATGATTGCTGTGGATGTGGAAATTTCAGCCTCTTCGTCAGAATATGCAACTTCTGGCATCATCAATCGTTCCGAGGCATTACCCCTTCTCACCACTGTTATGGTTGTAGACGCAGCTTCATGGTGCATGGGATGAGCTCTTGATTTGAGAGCATGAAATTCGCAGCACATTTCTAATAATAAACATATGAAATCGAAAGATAAATCTTCTAATTGTTGTAACATATTCGATTGAGTTGCACACAAATCTTCAAGGTTTTGATCGTCGTCGACAACCAGTTTTTTTCTGCAATCTGTCACTATTTATGAGCTCTGACCTCTGATACCAACTGATGTAATGCCGGTAGAAGAATCAGTGCAGGAAAACAAAAACATAGAAATAGCTTCCATGAAGTAAAAGACTAAATAGTATATTTCATGTTCCCCTCTCTGCTATAGTTTCTTCTCTATATATAGTTTCTATACTTCTGGGAATATTGAGTATTACTAAACTAACACTAAAGAAGAAAATGATAACTAATAGCCCTTTATAATAAAAAAGGCAAAAATCTGATAGTGGAGATAAGCAAAACAACATGGGAGTGGAGATAAGTTATCCCTCACCTACAATATTGTTGGGTTGAATTAAGCATTTAATATAATGTAGTGGAGTTTTTTTTGCATTTTTCATTGCTCATAACATGAAATATTAAATGGTAAATAATTTCACAAGAAATCAAATATTAAAAGAAGTTGGATTACATGAAGTACAAAGAGAAAAATGCCAATAAAGAATAGTCTATGATTAAGAAAATCAACAAGGGGCATCTGATGGGTGTTTTGATATTTTGATATATTTACTAAAATATTACCTTACAAGCTTTAGCCACATGAAGTGAAGTTTATCTTAAAATTAGAGAGAACTTAGAGTTCTGAAGAACTTTGTTTAACGTTTGACGTCAACTATCATCACCTGCAACCACTGTTGTCACCCATCCACTATCACCTAACAACTATCAACCTTCTTCCATTGTCCAACCATCATCACCTGATCACTTTGTTCGTTTATCATTATATGAACATCATTGCCTAGCTGACATCATTCAACCCCCATAGCCTCATTATCATCTTCTTATCTTTGTCACATGACTAACATCATTTGACTATCATCATCATCATCATCATCATCATCATCCCTCCACTATTTATCCAACAACTTAAATTATAGTTTCGAGATACTAAGCTTGAGTACCCTACATTATAACGATGTCTTTTTCAATTTAGGGGAAGATCATATTTTGTAATTTAACTTATATAGTAAATCATTTCATATGGGCTAGACCTTATTAATTCTTCCTTCTCAGATTTTCCATATAAAATCTCTCTTTTCTTTCATATTTGTCTTTTTTCCTTACGTATGTGCAAGATCATTGTACAAATCTATGATGTAAGATTATCTATTGATCTTCAGAAATTTTTTAAAATGCAACAATTATGTCTAACGAATCATTTGATTGGTATTAAAGATCGATCTCAACTTTTCGCTGGCTTAACTCATTAAACTGAATACCAAGAGTGATTGTAAATGAACAAACTAACAATTTTAGCCTTCAATAGGGTCGATTTATGCTGAGGTAACTGTCCCAAACTCTCAATCCTTAAATCAATGCAATGCACAACACATGAAGTTCAGTAGAGATGCTTCCTATTCTCCATTAACAATTTCTATGCAGCTTTGTATGCACTTGCATTATGTGTAACTACTTGAACCACCATCCAAATTACATATTTTTGTGGAAATTGCTTGGCTTGTCAATGACCTTGAATATAAAGTATGTTGAATTTGGGAAGAGATCCGCAGAGACGGCATTTAAAATTGTTTGATCATAAAATTAGTTGTCTAGAAAGCTATCTTTGGTAAACCTCAAGAAGTTTATTGAGACTCCATTAAGGGATTTGATGTGGCACTTATACACGCCATTGAACAATCAGGTAAGATCCTAAAATTATGTGTTAATGTTGAATTCATATATTTTCCAATAAATTTGAGTAAAGTTTATTGGATTAATTATGAGATCTCACTCTTATAATGTTTGTTGTGGACTAGAATATACGCGGCGATAGAGTTTTAATCGTTCGTCTTAGCGTTATACGGATATCCAGCTCACACACAGAGAACACAAGATTTTTTACGTGGAAAACCCTTGAAAGGGGAAAAACCACGGGGCCTGGCCCAGTTGAAAAGATTTCACTAGAACTTAAGTTAGTTACAATGGGCTGACTCGTCTCTAAGGACGATCAGATTACAAGTAGCAATTATACAATGGAAGTACGGGTGTCGAGTAATGGTCTGGCAGTACTTCGAGCCTTAGATGATGATAAGGCAGAACTCCGGGCCTTAGATGATGATCTGGTAAAGATGAGAGTCTTCGACAATGGCCTGGCAAAGATGAGAGCTTCAGGTGAAGGTCTGGCGGAACGTAGGGCATTCGACGAAGGTGAGGGTCTCAGATGGCGGTCTGGCGGAGCAACAACGTTAGGCGGTGGTCCGGTGGAGCGCAGGGCGTCAGGCGGTGATTCGGCGGAGCACAGGGCGTCAGGCGGTGGTTTGGAGAAGCAACGTCGTTAGGCGGTGGTCCAGTGGAGCGTAGGGCGTCAGGCGGTGGTTCGGCGGAGCAACGACGTAAGGCGGTGGTCCGGTGAAGGTGAGGGCCAACTGTCGGCGGTGGTCCGGCGAGACTTCGGCGGTTGTCGAGGAGGCTAGGAAGCAAGAGCGATCTCTGATCTCTCTCTTTTTTCCTTAGGCTTTGGGGGTCCCTTTTCAAGAGGAGAGGGGGCTCTGTTTATAGATTTTGGGAATGACATGACTCGTAAATAGGTGGAGGATCAAGGGTTAGTTGGGAGTGGTTGGATGGACGGCCAATCTTGAATTCCTTGATCATGAACCGTTCGATTGACGTTTGAATGTCGTAGTGATGTCGGAATTCAGTGATCTTGGGCTCGTTGGATTCGTCTCGTCGAGCCGCTCGATTTGACTATAAGCTTGTTATGTTTGGAATCCGTTTGGTAATCCAAATTGTGGTTTGAACCTTCTAACAGCTCTTTGGGTCCTTGATTTGGACCCATTTGGGCTCAGATTGGGTCTAATTTGGTGTCGTTGGATTCGTATTTCCGAGACGCTCAGTTTGACTATAAGTTTGCTGAAATCGGAGATCGGATGCTCTTGATTTTAATTCTGAAAGTTTCTAACTTGATTTTGCTTTGAGATTCGTGCCCGATCAAGATAATTTTCGGATGATGTATCAATGTTTATGAAGTTATATGATTATGACCCCACTTACACCTTATTGCAAAACTTGTTGGGGAATTATGTCTGTGTTCTTTAAGTGCTTCATTTACTTAAGCAATCATGGTAATGCAAACCTTGTAGGGGAATGATGACTGTGTTCTATAAGCGCTTTTAATTACTTAAAATACACTCTATTTTGTTATAGCTATAATGTTATATCCGTATACTATGTTGTTATGATTGCACTAACTACGTTGAATCAATATTATTGTTTACTATGTTATAATCCGTGCTCGAATCATGATCATAAAATATTCGAGCCATGATTGAATGATCTTCAAATCATAGATAATTTTTTGAAGCCTATTCGAACAATCTTTGAACGATTATTGCACCATATCGAATGATGATTGAATCAATCTATCATAATTCAAAGAAATACTGATCCATATTTAAGCCATATTTGAATCTCGGTTGACCTTTGTTGATTTATGTAAATCCTACAAAAATATGATTAGTTCGAACAAGCAAAATTGTTTGAAACTTATTCAAACTTTATAATATTATTGCCCAAACAATGGTGGTTCTGATAGACTTCAAATAGACCGTTTGTGATTAATATAGAGTTTATTTTGGTTTGAGACTTTTGAACCTATTTCTTCAATTTTTATTATAATGGAGCATATAAAATTAAAATTCTTTTTAAAGAATTGATTAAATATAATAAATTTATTTAATATAATATTAATATAATTAATAATAATAATAATAATAATAAAGATTAATTTAAAATTTAATTAATATATCTCATTTAATTATTACCAAATATATTAAGAAATTTTAAAAATTAAACCCTCCTGTTCTTCCCCAAATTCCCAAAAACCCTTACGGCAAAGAAGCGAGGAAGTAGGGCGGGAGCGAAGCGAGGAAGTAGCGGCGGGAGCCCGCTGGAGAAGGCAACGACGGGACCAGCGGCTTGCGAAGAAGAAGAGGGCTTACTGAGACTTACGCCGGATTTAGGTTAAATCCTGCTATCAAACAGCCCCAAAGTACAATACTTGTCTCGACATAGTTCATTTACAGTGTCAACTGAACCGGACGTAACCCTCTGAAGCTCCGGTAGACCGAACCTCGCCTCCTTTCAAATTTGAAGGCACTCAAGTCTGAGATGGCGGCGTCCAGGAAGAGGAAGGCGCCCCAGAAGAAGAAGGCTGAGGAAGGCGGTGTTGGCGATGTAGTCAATCCCACCGACGAGGCTCAGAAGGAATCAAGTAAGGGAAATGCTAATAGAAGGAAAAGCGTCAGAACTAAGCCTCATCAGGAAGCCAAATACTTCGAGGAGAAGCGGAATCTGGTTAGTATGATGCTCGTGGGTGATAAATTTTTCTTCCCTATTTCTCTTTTAACTGATGCTTTTGATGCTATTGTCTAGTTCTTTAATTGTATGCTAAATTTTGGTCGAAAATAACTGCCCCTTTTATTACCTCATGGAAATAAAAAACCTATAGTGAAAATTTACTTTATGATAAATTGGAGAAGCATAATCGGGTTGTTTCCTCTTTGAGAGTATGAATCCCAGGAAGGATAATACTATTTATTTAAGCATTATTTTTTTATTATTGGTACTATTGATTGGATATTTTCCTCGCATGCTGAATTTTGGTTTAACACAGCCATCGCTTTTTAATTACATTATGGGAAAAATGAAACTTCACTATCTCTATGCGCCTAGTTGGTACGACCTTTGAGAAAAAAATGCTGTATATAAAGGTAAGTCCATGTTTGATTTCTTCTTGAAATTGCTGACCGCTTTGTTCTTGCATTATTGAGTGAATTAAAAAAATAATAATAACTTTTTTGAAAAGTAATTGAAATTTTCTATATTCATAAGTTGGTCGTGCGGTTAGAAATAAACATTGATTTTAAGCTTTACATATCTTCTCAAAATCCTCTTAAATTAATGATTTTTTTTTTAACATACAAAATTGTTGAAATTGAAAATCATCATTAATCATGCTTTCTATATTTAATCTACCAAATGTGATGATTTTTTCAACTTATGAAATCAGTGAAACTGAAAATCACCCATTTTTAAATCATGCCTTCTATCTACATTCTACAATCTACCAAATATGCCCAAAGTGTGATTGTCCTGAAGTGCTATTATCACATAGTTTTTTTTTTTCCTGGTGCTGCATGAGTTTTAATATTGGATTGTGTTTTTGACAGGAGGATTTATGGCTAGCTGCATTTCCTGTTGGAACTGAGGTCTGATTGCTGATTCTTGTTACATCGTCACACCAAGTTCTTTCATTAGATGATTAACATAGAGCTGTCTGAGATATTTTGGCTCAAGCATGTGAAAGTTTGCTTGTTGCAATGGTTTTTTTTAACATGTGTGATTTGATGATAGTGGGATAACATGGACAAACTTCATGAGATCAATTGGAAATTTCCTAACTTGGAGGTGCTATTGCAATGCTTTTAACACTAGATACGTTTTTGAATTTTACAACAAAATAACATGGTACAAATCTGCAATGCATGTTTCTAATCTCAACCTTTTTTTTTTTACTTATACAGAATGCTTTTGAGGGTGGAGAGCTTTGCGGGAAGAAGGTGTACTTGTTTGGCTGTACTGAGGGTGGCTTTCTTGTTCTTACTCTTAACATTTGTGGCTTGTTATTTCACCAGATTATTGCTAGAGTTTCATTTTATGTATTTTTTAAGAAATTGGTGTCACATTCTTCTTGAATATATCACCAAATATCTTTTTAATTACTTTATTCTTCAATTTCCTTTTGAGTACACAAATTCATATACAATCCCAGTTTGAAAAGCAAATGATAGATATAAGGTTTCTCCATTTTGATGATGTTTAGAATAAAACGATGGGAAACATCCACCATTCCTGAGTTTTTTATGTTTGTTTTTCGAATGCAGCTCAAATGCTGAATGTAAATGGCGTGGACAAGGTCACCCTTATTCCAGTAGTGATCGCAGTAAGTACAGTCATGTTATATTTGTGATTGTGTTATTGTTTGGAAACTCAGTTTTTCTCTAAATCATGATATTTATTCATCAGTTGAGTTTATATTGAAGTCAGACCTATTCAATTATCAATTGAAATATGTAATATGAATCTCTTGAGAGCCACTTTTCATCAATCCTTCACATTTTGTGCATTGCTATTCTCCAATGTTTGCTCAAAATGAGATGCCAATCTCTTTTGGGTGTTTGTTTGCAGTTCATTGAGAATCAAAATTGTAATCCATTGACAAATTGCAATATACTCAAGTTTCTTGGTTGTGGTATTTCTTGGATGAACATGTTCATGGAGTTGAGTGGATAATTATTAATTCACTGATTTGCTTTAATGGTATTGTGCATCTTCATGCAATTTCCTTGTTTTTTTTTATAATGACATTTGTATGATTTGTTATATCTTGTTTTTTCCACAGAAAATTGATTTGATTCCATATTTTGATTGCTCTTTTGAACGATTTCTTAGTTATTGCCTTGTCTAAAAAAGAAGTCGAGAGGGCCTTTGAATAGAAAAATGCAAACACATCACTCTACTCTTTCCCATTTGGGCTTTGGAATGGTAATGGTTTATTGAAGCCACTATTCATGTTACCAGTGGTTTGTGCAGGTTGTCATTATTAAGTATCTGTTGGGAGTTGTTACGTTTTTTTTTTCTTTATATTGCTTTCATTCAAATCCTCACTACAGTATTGTTTTCATACTACAACAAAGCTTCTATGTTAAAATGAATAATCCTACTATTATAGAAATTAAGGTGTAAGCTTTCTCTTTAGAATGGAATATGCATATAACTTGGAGAGATATGTGCGATGGAACTGTGATTAATATTGATGCACCCTTAGAGTATTAAGAGAATTTTTTGTAATTGGGTGTCACATGCGTGGAAGCTTTTAAGTTCTTATCGTATTTTAATGTATTGGATTTTGTAGTTATAAATGTTAATCTTGATATTGATGTGAATCAAACATGAATTGCTTGCGGAAATTAAGATGAAAGTAATTAAAGCGTTGCCAACACAAATTTATCACCAATAAGATAAAGGATTAAATGTATTCTAGGCGAAGAGTTGCTTTGAGATAACCAAACAATTCATAAACATTCAAAGATAAAAGAACTACTTAAATGCTCATAACAAAATCCCACGATTAATAATGAGAAAATTCACCTCGAGCACATTCTCACTCATTCACTCTTTGGCTTTTAGCGGAGAAGAAAGAACCACACGAAGATGGAGAGCACCACTACGGAAAGGAGACGAAGGACTTCGTTACCGGAGAGGTAGCCGCCAGTGGAGGTGGTGGTGGATGGCGCCCGGTGATTGTCCAAACGTAGTCTTGAAACTGGCGCGCACAAGTGATGGGAGAATCCGCTCCAAGTATTCGCCAACTGTGTCTTCGTGCTCAAACCCCGCGTCGAAGAACGTAGACCGGAGGATGTTGAGGCTACCGTCGGCGTTGAACACAAGCCCCCACTCAAATTCGGGATCCGCCATTCAACATTGAGGAGGGGACGTCAAGAAGAAAAGAGAGGAGAGTTGGGCCGTGAGCTAGGGAAAGACTTGTGGGAAAATCTGAATTTGAATTCAGATTTTCATGGATTGGAGGGAGAGGTTATTTTATCATTATAATCCCCCTAAATTATATTAAAGAGAGGGGCGGCTATTAGGGGAGAATTAAGAGGTTAATTAGTGGATGCTTAGGTAGCAAGGAGAGAGAATAGGCTAGGTGGAGGGGGCCGGCCAAGCAAGGGGGAAAAGAGAGGGAATTTGATTAATTAGTGGGGCCCATGGAGTTAATTAAAACCTGATTTTAAATTTCAGATTTTAATCAAGTAAGGAGATTTGAAATTTGAATTCAAAACGGATGAGATTTCATTTAAATCTATTCCTAAATGTAGGGTGTTATTTTAGGAAAGGAATAATGAAAGAATTAAGGCAAGAAATTCAAATTTACAAGAGGAAGGGGCGGCAGGATTTTACCAGGGAAGAGGAGGGCTGGGCTAAGGGAGGCGGCGGCCTGGCTGGGGCCGGCGGCTGGCCCTTTTGGTGGCAAGGAGGGATGGGGAGGGTGAGTTGGTGGAACTGGGTGGGGAAAAATGTTGGATCGGCTGTAGGGGAAGGGAGAAACGGGCCAAGGCAAGGGGAAGGGGGGACGGGTGTGTGGAGAAGGTGGTGGGGAAAGAAGAAAACAGTGAAATACAAGTAAAACCAAGAGCTCGCCGGGGCGGGCTGTTGGGTATTTCGGGTGGAGCCTCTCCTAGGTCTCCTCTCTTTCTCTCAAGCTCTCAAGCAAGAAGACGAAAGAAAATCTCAGAAATTTTTATTAATCAAAACATTAAGCTCATACAATAGGAGGAGACCTCTTTATATAGGCCTCATTAACAGAAAATAACATGAAAATAATATGACTCAAATGCCCACCGGGCTACAACAAAGACTAAACCTTCATAATGGCAAAATAGTAAACTAAGGTTTGAAATAAAAGATACATAGAAAATAACATAAGATGACATGGCAACATCAGAAATATAAGCTCCCAATCGTAGCCGTCGATCTACGATTCCTTCGCCGGTAGACCTGCCTAAAATGTCTGTCAATGACCTCATCAGATATATTCTATTTGCAGCTTATATATTTCTTCTGCGTGAGATTAAACATAGCATTTTCACGAACACAAACAACTTGTGCCTTTCTTAGTGTGAGTGAAATTAAATTTATCGTCCCTCTCTTCACTTTAAACAATATAAGTAGTCATTTAAAGTTAAATTCCATTTCAAATATTGATTTATATGCTAGTGTTATTGAAGATACTATGTTCTAGTTTTGTATATGTGGCAGAACTTCTCTATTGCTTTATGAAACCTGGATGTACTGTTCCATCCTAATTGCCCCTTTTTTCTCTTTTTGTTTAGGTGGTTTCTCCTGTTCCCCCCTCTGACAAAATTGGCGTTAAATCTGTACAAAGAGAAACGGAAGAAATTATTCCCATGAAATCAATGAAAATGGCTTGGATGCCATATATTCCATTGGAGGATAGGTAATTTTGTTTTAAATTTTTAATCTTTTGGTTTCTTTCCAATGTTTTAATGTGAAATTTTCAGCTAGTATGACATTGCATGTTTTGTTCATTTCAAGGCATAGTCAAGTAGAACGATTGCACACTGAAATTTATACTATGGGATGCACTCAGAGAAGGTAACTCTAGCCTATCCATTATCCCTAACATATTTCATTATTATCTTCCTTCCTTTTTTTTGACCTTATACCACTCATCCTCTGATGACCTTCTCAGCATTTTCCATCAATGCATATGGCTATTTCGTTTGAATATGTTGGTTTCCTTTACAAAGAATTACATTTGGCATCGAGGGCAACCTACTGTCTTTTTTTATATCACGTTATTTTACTTCATTCTTCAAGGACAATTTTTCATGAATGCTCATTTTTTATTTTGCCTTTTTTTATGTCGAATTTCACTGCTGCTTTTTTATGTGTTTATTTTTTTTTGTCTTTCTACTAATTTAATTGTAAATTGTTTTGTTTTTGTCAATTGGTTTTGAAAAATTTTCAACATGCTAATTGTTTTTAATATGACTATGGTTATACCCCATATTTTTTGTACATTTAACACTTCCATTGTACTTGCATCATATGTGGTAGCTGTAAAGTGTTAATGACTTGTATATATTTTGCATATTTACTAAGCGTGCAGGATTCCCTTTTAGTAATACATTTAAGTAACAATTTTCAACAAATATAATAACATACATGAATACATGACTATTAATAAAACTTAGATACTAAAAATTTTAATTAAAATTGAAACAGAATTATTTTGTGCATACCTAATATGAGACCACATCTAAAACTAAACTCACCAATTCTAATAATTCCTATTATGTATACAAATAATTTGGTTATAAATGTGTCAATATATTCATGTAAAGTATATGAATTGAAAGACAACATTGAATTCATAATGCTCAATAGTCAATAGTACATCATAGTACAAATATTTTGTGGAGCCCTAGGAATGGTGCATGTTGTAATATGTTCTATTTTAAATGTAGTGCAAAATATTAAAATATTATGGATCATTCACTAATTATTTAGTAATATAAGAGAGAAAATATTCTGAAGCAAAAAGTTATTATCAATATCCTATAAATAAAACATTAGAATGCTTTAACATGCATGACCGTATATATAAGGCAATTAAATTGAAAAATAAATTATCATAGCAATGAAAACAACTAAATTTATAAATTAAACTACCATTTTTGTCATGATGTATACTATTAGGTCAAAATGTTAAATATTGATGCTTAGACTCAACAACTCAAAACATTAAAATAGTTTTTTACGAGGCACTTATTTTTTTAAAAAACATTAAATTAATCATCCTGAGAAGCTTAATCATCATCATGATAAGTCAAAAGAGCCTCATCTCCTTTATTAGGATCATCATTATGTTCTAAATTATAATCTTTTTCATCACCATCATCATGCACTCATTTATTTGCGAGAATGATAAGCCAAGATGAAGATTATAATTTATAAAGCTGATCTCAAATAGTCATGATTAGATTAATAATGATGATGACTACGAGTAATTTATTTGTTCTTTTTTGTTAATTATTTGAGATGTTGGTTCTCATGTTTGCAGATCTGCTCTAAAATTCCTGAAGGTTGAGCGAGTTAAACAGTATGATTATTGCCTGCCTTGTAAGTATTTTTTTAGTGTCGTACATTCTACCACTTAAAATATGTTTTCTTTTTTTTTGTCATGATGTTGCATTCCTTTAATTTTGTTTGTATTTACGAGAATGCTAATCTATGAATCAACTAGAGTATGATACCAATATACCATCTAGGTTATAATACATTTACCTGATCACTCTAAGTTTTCTTCCGAACGACATTGCAACCATCTGTGCATTGCTTTCTTAGCGATTCTTTGAGTCCATCTAGTTACTTTAGTCGATAGTTTTCATCATTGAATTTACATACAAATCAACAAATTTGTTAAAAGCTTGATTACATTCCCTAGAATCTAACATATGTTTTGATTTGTTTTGATGCAATTGATTTTAAATCATAAGTTGTGATGATTTAGGTTCTAGTGTTTCTCATGCAAATCTAATATGACATGTCGGGAAGTTATATGACAAAAAATTAAAATTCACATGTTACAGACTATTAAATCTAAACATTGATATACTACCTTTGACTAGAATTGAAATAATGATCGAAATCTATTCAAATGAACAATCCATGATGTACTAGAAAGTAAATACTAGAATTAAGGATAAAAAATCGCACACAATTTCATGCTATCGACATTATTGCAAATTATAGCAAAATTGACTAATTCAATCCATCAACAACAAAAAAAGGAAGAAGAAGAATAAAGAGGTGTAGAATAAATATATCACTTGAAAATAAGTTTAATGTATATTACAGGGACTCAGGGAGATAACTGATAAAAAACACTTGTATAAACCAATAAAGAAAACCTTGCTAAAATTCGAGAAAATCAACCACTTATAAACAATTTTTGAGAAGAAGGTAGACAAACCATAACGAAACAAATTTTATTTGATGAAAGAACAAAAGCAAGCTTGATACAATGGATTTTTAATTCTAGAGGAAGATTCGGCTCTCTCAATCCCTAGCTGGCGGCTTGAGACCAAATACCTAAGATAGATATCAAATTTCAGCCAAATTCAAGATGCCCTAACCGTAGAAAAACATACTACTTAATATATACAATTCAAAAGGAAATCTCTAAACAAACCCTACTTTGAAATTTCCCTCCTAAATCCCTCCAAAACCTTTCCTTATTCCTGCTGCCAACAGGGGCCATGCATGCTGCTCTTCTGAGGTATGTATTGTCAGACCAGTCCCTGGACCGGACCGGCTGGCGGCTAGTTCCCCAATACCTAAGAGAGATCTCAAATTTCAGCCAAATTCAAGATGCCATAACCGTAGCAAAACATACTACTTAATATATACAATTCAAAATGAAATCTCTAAACAATCCCTGTTTTGAAATTTCCCTCATAAATCCCTCCAAAACCTTTCCTTATTTCTGCTGCCAACAAGGGCCATGCATGCGGCTCTTCTGAGGCCAGTATTGTTAGACCGGCCTTGGATCAGACCGACTGGCGGCTAGAACCCAAATTCCTAAGAGAGATCTTAAATTTCAGCCAAATTCAAGATGCCATAACCCTGGAAAAACATACTAATTAATACATACAATTCAAAAGGAAATCTCCAAACAACCCCTACTTTGAAATTTTCCTCCTAAATCCCTCAAAAACCTTTCCTTATTCTGCTCCAACAGGGGCCAAGCATGCAGCTCTTCTGAGGCATAGACCTTTTCCTCCTCTGTTACGTGAGCCGGTCCCGTATGGACCGATCCTGGGACTGATCTAACAATACCCGTCTCCTAAAGATCCACCTTTTCCATAAGGTTGAAAGACGACACTCTCCTTAGCTTCCTTATCATCACAAACGGTGAGAACATGTAGAGTTCGGATCTTGCATTTGTGCCACAGTGTATACCTCTCCTCACATCTGAAACAGAGCCTCTTCGTTTACTCCTGTAACTTTGTTTATGTGAGCTTCTTGAAGTTGTCTCTGGGTCTTACACTTACAGCCTTCTCCTTTTGGGTTTCCCAAAGAGTACCCGGCATCAGCTCATTGGGTGCCAAGAAGATGGTGGTCATCCTGTACGAACCTCCAGAGCTGCTGCTTCTAGTCTCTTTCTCTAGGTGCCTCTGATCCTCCACTAGCTGAGCTATCTCTATAGCCTCTCCCAAATTACGAGCCCTCATCACTCTAACTGCCGCTCGAAGCTCTGTTTGAGCCCTTTCAAAAAGTTTCCCTCTAGTATAGTATGCGAAAGCCAGTTTAGTCGATTGGCCGGATGCTCAAACTGCTCAAGGTATTCCACCACCATCCCCTCCTGCATCAGGGCATAGAATTGCTCATAGAAGTCCCCTTTCATGCTGGTTCGAAAACGTTCCAACAAATAATCATTAAAACTCCCTCCAAGTTCATATGGGTCGCCTTGTTTCCCTCCATTGGTACCATGCTAAAGCTTTCCCTTCCAAGCACATCTCTACTGCCGTCAGTCTCTCATCCTTCATTTTATTGACGGTAAAGTATCTTTCCACCTTGTAGATCCACCCATGGGCATCATCTCCCTAAGAAATATGCATATTTAGCTTCTTCACCCCTCGGATCTCTTCCTTCCCCCTTGTTTCCTTCATAATTTTCCATTCCCTAAGGGGATGGTTCCCCCCAAGTGTCCCAATCATCCATTCTATGCTCATATCCAAACCTTTCATCAAATTCCTACATTCTCCTTTTAAATTTAGCATCCCTTGGATCATAATAAACCCTTCTCCTTTCAATTTCAGCCCTCCTTCGATCATAATTACACATTTTCCTTTTAAATTCCGCTCGTCTCCTCTAAAATTCAGTAGCCCTTTGTTCATGCTCCACCTCCTTATGCTTCTCCCCATACCCTCTACTTGGCTCCCACCTAGGAATAGGCTCTAGGGGAGGTATTCTCTCTTTTCCCTTTCGAGTCTCCACCTCTTGATATTCCTTTTGCCTTATTGGATTAGAGTTTCTTTGCTTCCTAGGTTGTCGGAGGCTTCCCTTGCCCCTTGCCTCTGACGATGTCGTTTTGGGTTGGCCCTCGAGCAACTTCTTCAACATCTCCCCCAGGCTGAAAAAATTCCCCTCCTTGTGGATGGTTGAAATTTGACTTATGTCATCTGAATATTGAACGTGGAGATCTAAAATTTCAGTTTTCAGTTGTCCAATCTCCTCTTTCAACACTTCTATCTTTCTTCCTGTCATAGGATTCAGATTTAGGCTCCAATAGCAAAGTGCAACAAACTGCAAAAATAACAAGATCGTATATGAAACAACAACATTCAGTGAGGAAGACTTCTATTTTAGCCAGAAAATTATTCTGATACCAATTTGATAGAAAATACTTGTATAAACAAAGAAAAAACCCTTGCTAAAATCTGAGAAAATCAGCTACTCGCAAATAATTTTTGAGAAGGTAGATGAACCACAACGAAACAAAGTTTATTTGATGAAAGAAGAATAAAAGCAAGCAAGATATAATGGATATTCAATTTGAGAGAAAGATCTGGCTCTCCTGATCCCTAGCCGGTGACTAGAGCCCAAAAACTTAAGAGATATCTTAAATTTCAGCCAAATTTAAGATGCCTGAACCCTAGCAAAACATACAAATTAATGCATACAATTCAAAAGGAAATTTCTAAACAACCCCTACTTTGAAATTTCCCTCATAAATCCCTCCAAAACCTTTCCTTATTCCTGCTACCAACTGGGGCCAAGCATGCAAATCTTCTGAGGCGCAGACCTTGTCCTCCTCTGTTACATGAGCCGGTCCCGTATGGACCGATTGGACCGGTCTAACAATAACCTCCCTTAGAATTCATCAAGTCTATCACTTTATGAGGGAATTAAATACTGAAAGTAGAACGAACTGTATATCAGCAAGACTTTTATTCAACTAATTAAGTTTTGTTCATGTCTCAAACGCCTATTCATAATTTTTAAGATAAGCCCTTTCCATTCACTTAAAATCGTAGGTGGATCACATAATTCTCTAACCTATCCATTGATATAATGCTTACTAAAGTCAGCACTCTTAGTAGTCATAGAAAGATTGAGGAAATCATAGGAATTTAGTGGTTGTTTGGATGTAAGCAAAATGAGTGTTTTGTCTTTTTTTGCTTTTGTTTTATAGTTTTTGGTGTTTGGTTTAAAGCAGCAAGCTTTGTTGTAAGGGGATGAAGAAAGGGAATTTCCTTGTGATGTAAGTTTTTTTAGATGAGTGAGATTGGGTTTTTGATGGAATTCCAGGTTGGTCTCATAGTTCGTTAGTGTCGATTCAAGGTTGGTCTCATGTAGTGCTTTAAATCAAACAATGCATGAAATTAGTTTTTAATGTATTTATTTTACAACTCACCAACCAATTTTGTGTAACTGAAATGCATTGCATTTATTTATTTATTTATTACATGCAAGCAAACAATCCCTTAGGATTGACAGAAGCCGAGAATTTACAAAATTTTAAAGTCTTACTTATGTGTAAGAGAATCAGAGGAGTATTCATGGATAAAATTGAGAAATAGAGGAATAAAGTGTAAATAGAGCTAGAAGGATTGTAGAGCTGGGGCAAGCGATATATTATAGAAATAGTATAAGGTTTGTTGAAGTCGTGTGGAGAGGGAAGCCACCAGAATAATATTATGTCTAATTTGTGAAAATTTGTCCACATTAAATTGTTTAGTTTTTAGTCTTCTGATAGACTTGGATGTTGAATAAATATCTATGAGTCATTATGGATAGTTCTATATTTTCACCTTATAAAGTGCCTTTCATATCCATTATCAGTGATGAGTATGATTTCATCACCAATAATAACTTTAGGAGCAAGATTGGTATGGTTGTCTGAAAATTGTGTAGATGAAACGTTGAATGTGAAACCCAGAGGAAGAGATGGAAAAAGAGAATTTATGATATAAAGTTAGATCAAATACATTAAACCATATACTATTATTGAAATTTTGTGATACTTGTAATATCCCAATTCATTTTATGACTTTATATGATTCATATTTAGTTTTCATAATTAATATTACATTTACAACAAATGTTTTAATTCTAATCATGATATGAATGGTGGATAGTTCAACAGAGTATGAAGCAGTGTTGATAATTCCAAAATACCCATATGTTTCCTTATGAATATGCTATAACGAATTCCAAGGGGAGCATATAATGAAGCAAATCTAAAATTTTTATTAGATTCCATGCTTTTAATAACTAACAAACCTCAAAGATATGTTTAATTTAAATAAGTATGTTTATTATATGGATCAATAATCTCTAAATATAATTAAAATATTTTGAAGATTAGTTGTGTTAACTTATGAATCTTATGATCCAAGTAGATAGATTAGAGTTTTTAATTTCATATTTTCTTGGAACAAGATTATCATGAATAAATTTATTGATTTATCATCATTGATTGAACCTCTCAATAAGGATCATAACTTCTAAACATAGGGCTAGATTTTTAAACAAAGAAGTGCCACAACAGCATATTTGATTAGAGAATATCTTAGATATTTAAAAGTAAATTTATAATTCTATAATTAGATCAGCTATGATGTATGGACCCATATGTTTGTCTATAAGAAAGCCACTAACAAAATTAGTTGAGAAAGGTAACAACAACATCAACATCAACATCAAGCCTTTATCCTACTTTGTGGGGTCGGTGATGTGAATCAATGTAGGAATTGCATTTGGGAAGTAAAATTGAAAGTTATTTAAAGCATTGTCAAAACAAATTTTATTACCAATAAAATGAAGGTTTAAATTATTCTAGGTAATTAACTCGCTTAGGCGAAGATTGCTTTGAGATAACCAAACAATTCATAACAATCCAAAATAAAAGATATACTTAATTGCTCATAACAATAATCCCACAATTAATAATGAAGAATTTCACCTTGAGCACCCTCTCACTCGTTCACTTGGGGGCTTTAGCGGAGAAGAAAGAACCATGCGAAGATGGAGAGCACCACTACGGAAAAGGTGACGAAAGACTTTGTTACCGGAGAGGTATTCGCTGGGGAAGGTGGTGGTGGAAGGCGTCCGATGATCGTCCAAGTGTAGTCACGAAACTGTCGGTCGAAGATACTTGCGAGGATCGGGACGACTCGCTCCAAGTACTCTTCGATTGTGGCGTCGTCTTCAAATCCTACGTCAAAGCAAGGAGAACGTAGGATATCAATGCTCCCGTCGGCGTGGAATACTAATCCCCATTCAAGCTCCGGATCCACCATTCAACATTGAGGAAGGGCGGGAAGAAGACAAGGGAGGGAGGATGAAGCCGTGAGCTAGATGAAGACCAAAGGAAAATCTGAATTTGAATTTTCATATTTTCTTATGTTGGAGGGAGAGGTTAATTGCAATAAAAGCCTCCAAATTTTCAATTAAAGAGAAGCGGTTATTAAGGGAGAATTAAAAGGGGAATTAGTGGGTGCTTATGTGGCAAGTAGAGAGAGAAAAGGTGAGGAGAGGATGGCCGGCCAAGCAAGAGAAGAAAAGAGGGATTTTGATTAATTGGTGGGCCCCATGAATTTAATTAAAATTTGAGATTTTAATTTCAGAATTTTAATTAATTAGGGAAGTTACAAAGGTGGGAGGGAATTTGAATTTGAATTGGGTAAGTAATGCTCAATCAATAGCTCCCTAATTTAAGGGGTCAAATTAGGAAAGCAATAATAGGAAATTGATGGCTGAATTCAAATCCCTCCAAGCCTTGAATCCGGCGGGATTGGCCAGGGAAGGGGAGAGGTCGGGTTGCTGGATGAGGGGGAGGGGACGGCGGCTGTACTGGGGCCGGCGGCTGGCCCAGCTGGCGGCAAGAGGGGGTCGGGTAGGGGAGTTTGGCGGTTCAGGAGGGGATGGGAGGGACGGCTGCAGAGAAAATTGAAGGGGGAAGAGGGGCGGGTTCGGTGAGTGGAACGGGGTGGGGAGGAAGGAAAAACAGCGAATAAACACGATAAAACCAAGAGCTCACCGTAGTGGGCTGTTGGGTGTTTCGGGTGGAGCCTCCCCTAGGCCTCCTCTCTTTCTCTCAAGCTCCCAAGCAAGAAGACAAAGATAAATTTCTGAAATTTCATTCATCAAACATTAACACAATAAGAGGAGACCACTATATAAAGGTTTCAAAGCATGAAAATAAAAGACTCACATGCCCATTGGGCTACAACAAACACTACGCCTTCGTAAGGACGAAATAGTCACTAGTGCACGAAATAAAAGATACATCAAATGACATAGAAAAAAATAACATAAAATGACATGTCACATCAGAAATATAAACTCCCAATCGTAGCCGTCTATCTACGATTTCTTCGCCGATAAACCTGCCTAAAATGTCTGTTGATGACCTCATCAGTCGGCTACATGAATCCTTTTTCTTCATTGTGCTATGTTAAAAGTTAAGTTCTCATTTAAATCTAATAAAGAAAGATCATTTCTAATATTTTCTAACCAATTCTTTTTAGGTCTACCTCTACTTATCATAACATAAGTCAAATCTAATACATCTACTTTCCTAATGTAGGTCATCAAAAATACTATCGTTAATATGTGATAAATGAAATGGTTAGAAGGTAAATGAAATTTTAAAATGAATATGTGATAATGCTAAGAAGGATAGGATGTGAAATGGTTATATTATTGGGTTGATGGTAGTAGCTTCTTAAAATTAGGTTTTATAATAATTAATTCCCAAGAACAACCCAAAAAAGTATTTGTCAAAGTGTAAATCATTTGTTTATTTAATCAGTTGCTTGTAATTATAAAATGTTCTTACTGGTACATTTGTAGTGGTGTTAACGCAAATTAACCGGTTAAGGCCATAATGAATCTTAAAAAGTACAAAATGATTAATCATATAATATTAATTAACCAAAAATCTTCTAATGACATCGAAAGAATTAATTAATTAATTATCTTTGATTTTTTAGTCATGATTTCATGTGCTAATTGCTAAAAACATCTTATTTAGCATGTTAATTGTTTATAATAAATCATTAATATTATAATTCATATCAAACCATTGTCTTTGCTTCATTACTCCTTATTATCTTACTTCTAAAAACCCACCATGTTTAATAGCTTATCTAACTATTTGCTTAGTTGCTAATTAATTTTATAGTTAAAGTTTAATTACTTATTTAAAGAACTTTAACCACTTATAGAAATCAATTTCTAAACCTTAATCCACTATACTTTTATTGAATGCAAAATAATTTTGAAATATTAATATACATTACATACTTGATTTTGATTAAAAAAATCCACGATTGAAGGATCAAAAACATTACCAAAATACAGATTTAGATAATCCTACTTATAACCATGCAATAGCTTAAGCTTTTTGATATTTTTTGTACAATGAGTTTATAATGGTCCTCTTTTGTATTACTTTCCCTCTATGATGTTTTAATTTGTTTCTTATAATTTCATATTTTTCACAAGTTACTTGAAACTCTTGAATTTTTTTTGTAGATCTTCAACCCCTCCACCCCGATGATGATGAACAAGATACGGTTGTCCATATCATGTATCCTCTAGATCCTCCGGTAAGTATTAGATAGAAAATCTTTAGATTACCTGAGTATCTTATTTTCCTTGTTGAAATTGCTTTGATCTCATTATTAGAAAATCAACTTCAAAATAAGTTCGAGAGACAACATTGTTTGTTATATTTTTAGCTAGAAATAGTGCAACGTTAAGTTGGTTTTACACTCTTGCAATTTATAAAAAGGTTTCGAGAAATAAAAGGATCTTTAAGCGGTTTTTGTTGACCTTGAGAAAGTTTATGATTTAGCGCCATTGTAATTGATTTGGTGGTCATAAGAAAATTATTTTTTTAGGATAAATTGAAGTTATATATATATGGAGGCATTGTGATTAGCATTCATGGTGATTTTATTTTGATCAAAAAGTTTCTAATTTGATTAATGTTATATCAATGACCAACCTTATGCTTGTAATTTTTTCTAATCGTTATGTAGATGCCAACAAACCATATTTAGGGATGAGCGAGGCAATGAAAACAAATATGAGATGTGCAGATGAGGTTTTGTATGTGGCGATTTTTTAGATGCAATTCTATTACTGTGGATTGTACTATTTTGCATTGGATGTGCAATGGGTGATCAAATGCAGATGATGCTTTGGATTTGTGTGAGTTGCTATGAAGGAGTTCACAAGATTTGTGGGATTCACACATTAGGGAACATGAACCTAATTCATAAAGTGTGAGCGACAATGTAGTTAAAAGGTGGGGATACAAGAGTTTTGCAAGAGATGGAGATGTTGATTATTGATTTGCGAGAGTTCTAATTAATGAGATTTGTCAGATATTTTAGTGATACAATGACATGCTGATTGAGTAATCTTATGAAGGAAGATAAAGGTACTACTTCTCATAAATATGCCATATTCTTTGAATTACACAATATAACAAATATATTTGTGCAAGAATTGAATTTATTAATGAAAACACTCTTTATGCTATTTCAAATCTATAACAAATTTTTTTATTCATGGAAGTAATTGAAATAAATCAATAAACCAAAAAAGAAAAAATAAAGGAGAAAAGGATCAAAATGATCCCTTGAATCTTTATGAAAGGCTAAAATAATCCCCAACAATATTAAAGGACTATTTTGGTCTTTCAACTCTTTAAAGATGAGTTACTTTTTAAAGACTTGAGGGACCATTTTGGTCCATTATAAATAGTTAATGACTATTTTGGTCTTTTTTTCTAAAAGATAAAGTATTGCATGCCATTTGCATTGTGCATGTAGTATACTATTTTTCTTTACTGCACATTGACATACAAATAGCATATAAAGTGTGAAATGCTGTATTATGGGCTATAACTTGTGCTATTTTGAGCTATTGACATGTATAAAGGGGATTGAGAAAATTACATGAATGAACACCTTAAGTGAATGGATACTTTATAGTGAAACAAAGCAATAAGAAACCATAAAATGGAGAGTTAATCCCTAGTGGAGATGTGAAATATAAGACTTGTATCTTTTCATACGAATAACAAGGCTTACCATTTATTATAGCCAAAAAGTCATGGACATTCTAGCCCGAGTAAAATTAAAATATTGTTATGCATATTCAATAACAAGCGATCAATTTACCCTTCATAAATTGATGAAATAACAAATATGGATGACTACATGATACATTGAATGATATTGAAAAGGCAAACTCATGAATAAGGATTGAGGTAAATTTTCTCTACATTACTTATGAGAGACATGATGAGAGTGTGGGGAGTGCACTGCTTTGCACGTGATATGCCCTGCGAAACCATTAAGCAATTGCTGAAGAGATAAAAGTTTTGTGTGTGAGATGTGGTAGCCTCAAGTTGAGGCAAAGGTCAATAAGTGAGAAGTTGGGTTGGCTAGTTGCATCAAAGAGAAAGGACTAAGAATGATGTGCTATTCGATGAAGGGGAAGAGATTTTTTATTGCCGTCGAAATTTTTTTATGGATGGATCCTTGGAATTACTAACTTCAACTCTTATGCCTATTGATGACAAGAGCTGTAACAAAAGTTGTTTGCATCATGGATGGATTGATAATGTTTAGGATATTAAGGTTGAAAGAGAGATCGAGTGCTTATAAAATGATTTAGTAGCTAGTGAACCTGTTTACTAACATCACAAGTTTGCATTGATAGAAAGGCTACTGGAACTGCTTTATTAAAAAATTTTGTGAATTTTATAACAATAATGCAATTTATTTGACCGTTTTTGGTTTATCTAGTCATAAGTCTCATTTAAAATAGGCCAAATTTTTAATTTTAATGGAAAATTTAGGATCAAGTTTTAGAACAAAATGAAATCTTTCGCTTATTAACTATAAAAATTATATAGACAAATCTCATATTCTTTGGGAAAAATTGGTTGAGATGGGCCTGCAATTAGATTAGTGGCTTTGCAAAGGGAGGATTCAAAGGCATGATGGGGCTAGGAGGGGGGGGGATGTTTTGGTATGTCATACAGATTCATTTATAAAGAATACTTTTTAGAGCTTAGTTTAAAAAAATTCGATGAATTTGAAAATACAGGACAGCTATTTTTTATTTCTTTGTCAAGCATCATTTCACTAGAATAAATCTCCACAATTGATCCTCACCACATCTTTGAACCTCTTATCCCTTGTTGAACCACACGTACTTCCGAATGTTCCTCTTTGGCATCGTCAATTTGCTTGGCTTATCCTTCATTGTTGGTCAGCATAACTTATTTCTATCACATCTTGTGCAATTTTGAGGAACTTCAACTCTGATGCCAATTGATGATGAGAGGGTAAACAAGCAGATATTTTGTTGAATTATTTCTTTCATTAGCCAAAAGGCCCCAAAACACTTGATTTTCAACCATAAAACCCTTCAACTTTTTAGTTGTAATTACATCATTTTCTTCTATCTGAAACAATTTATCCTGCAGTAATTGAGATTTAATTTTATATGCTCAATTAGTCACAAGAGATGTGCTTCTCTTTTATACTTACGATCCTAAAATTTTCATTACAATAAAAGGCATTGAATTCTTTCTCTTTTAGATGAGACCCAAGGAAAGATAAATCATAAAGAATAAATTATTTGTTTTATTATTCAAAAAATTGTATACTTTATTTACTAAGTAGGTAGTTCCAATCACCTTTGCATCACTGAAATATTATATATTTGTTTGTAAGGAACAACTCCACTAGTTATTGAATGTTTTTGATTGTCATACAAATTCATTCATAGAGAATTCTTTTTGAAAGTTAGTTTAAAAGAAATCAATGAATTTGACGAAATGCAAGACAACTATTTTTGATCTTTTTGCCAAGTGTCACGACACTAGAATAAATCTCCTCCATTGATCCTCACCACATCGTTGAACCTCTTCTCCCTTGTTGAGCTCTGCTTGCTTCTAAGTACTCCCTTTTTGTTGCCAAAATTTTTCCTGGCTTTTCCTTCATTGTTGTTCGTCCTAACTTAGTAGTATCACATCTTGTGCACTTTTGAAGAACTTCAATTCTAATGATAATTGATGATGAGAGGGGAAACAAGCATAGATTGTGGTGGATTATTTCTTACATTAAGCAAATACTTGATTTTCATCCGTAAAACCCTTGTACTTTTTAGTTGTAATTACATCATTATCTTGGATCTAAAACAATTTATCCCACCCTGCATGAAATTTGATTTTATATTGTTAATTAGTTAGCAAGTGATGTATTTTACTTTTATGCACAAACGTGATCCTAAATTTGTTGTTACAATAAGAAGCATTTAATTCTTTCTCTTTTATGAGACCTAAGGAAAGATAAATCATGAATAATAAATGAATTGCTTTGTTTTTCAGAAAATTCTACAATCTCTTTACTAATAAGGTAGTTCCAATTATGTTGGTTTGTAAGCAACAAGTCCATCAGTTATTGAATTACTTTATAAAAAATGGTAAAAACTCGGTTTATGTTTCACTTCCATCATCAAATTTTCAATTTAGGTAGAGTTGATAGTTTTGTCACTTTCACGATTCAATTTTGAATTTGATTTTTGTTATTTTTATTTGTAAAAAGATTGCTAAAAATATGAAATAAAAAGGGCTATCTAATGGGTTTCAAATTACAACGCACAAGAAATTTAATTTGATTTTAATGATGGGATTTCGTAAAATTTTGTCCACTATTCAAGAGTTTTAATAAAACTTGATCAAAATTTATTAGTTTTACTTAAGTTCTCAAATTTTGTCCGAAATTTCAATTCAAACTTTCCAGTTTCAACTGAAATCGGTCAAAATTAAAAAAAAAATGTCCTGGAGTTTCAAATTGGTTTTAATGGAGCCAATGAAAGCTACCAAATAAAACCTGAACCACCAAAATTTAGAATTATGATTTTTTTTTTGTGTCAGTATCTTTGGGATCAATAATCCATTCATTTCAAGGAGATCAGATATATTCTCTTTCATGTCTTCCAATTCAGCAATCATTTGAAAACAAATTTTGGTCTAATTATTGAACAAATATGAGGAACTTGAGAGCATCCAAAAATTTACCATAGTTAAGTACAAGGGACAAATCAATATCTTATTATTTGACCCGGTGCATATAGGCAAATGTCATGTAGTGTCAAAAATATTGGTTGATATCTAAGGTGGTGTTGTTGTCATAACGGGAGGGTTTACCGATTTATGCTTGAAGAATCCAAATGCTTTAATGAAACAAGCAATCCACCATATTTTTCCGCTTTCATTTCCCCACTTGTTGTCACCTTGTGTTTTCTATTATGATAATTTTGGTAGATGAAACTTTTGTTTTGATGTAAGTGAAATTATAATGGTAGAAGAAATGTTTAGAATATATTGGATTTAAAATTAGTAGATAAAGATTCAGTATATCACATATAATTTTAATTGATTTGAAATAGATATTATCAATGAATAGCTTTAAAAGATGATTCTTAGATGTGATATGTTTTTACTTTTGATTCTATTATACAAAAAAGTAGGATATTCATTATGGAAAAACTTCTAAATGTAAAGTTGCAGTTTAAAACGAAGTGCCTCAAAAGTATTATAACCTTCAAACGTAATTATAAAAGCTGCCAGTGGATCGGTTATGATATATGGATCCAAGTATGTGTTAACAAAAAATGGATACCAATAGTTTGTGGAGGAAATAGTAATGTTAAAATGGATGAGCAGTAAAGCTTAAAAGATGGAGATAAATGATTATAATGAGTCATGATAGAAGTGGCACTCGTTTTGGTATGATTATGAAATATTATCATTGTTTTGCTTTTACAACTGAACCATAGAAATAAACAGAGCAGGATTAGTAGATTGACCCAATTTGTTGGGTACTAATAATGATGATTTTGGAATTTAATCGCTGGAAGCTTTTCTTGTAAAGTTGATGCCATAGTAATCTTTCCTCCAGGTTGTCTGTGAGTTTGATTGGGAGCTGGATGACCTTGAGGTATGTACAACTATCGTATGCCTTATAATTGTCCTGTTTCCTTAATAATTTACTTGCAAGACCGATGTTATATAATGGTGTATATTTTCTGATGACCTTATGTTCCGTTTGATTACTAAACATTGAGACTTGTTATTTTTATAGGAATTTACGGATAACCTTATCAAGGAGGAGGTCTTATGGGAAGACCAGAAAGATAAATTTAAGGTATATGATTTATAAGAATGGTTTAAGGATAAATGTATAGTATATGATCTATAAGAATGGCTTAGCTTATAACTCAAATGTGTGGTTTGATGTTTTTCATGCCATTTTGTATTGGCTTTCACAAGATAATTTAGGCTTCGTTTGGGACGGCTTTCTTTATGCTTCTTAAAGCAGCTTCGTTGTACTAGGAAGCTGCTTTAAGAAGTATAAGGAAAGTCGTCCCAAACAAAGCCTCAATTGACTTGGCTGCTGCGGATTATGATTGATGCAAAAGTTATATGTGCTATTGTTGGAATAAGAAACAAAACTAAAGCCCAATGTTTATTGCTTTAGGAGCATGTAAAGGCACAGGTTAAAGAAAGGAAACAAGCTCAGAGACAGGTTGTTTGACTTAACCAATTTCATTTTGGTTCTTAACCATATTAATGGTACATTATTCATACTATGATGCTATACTGGTTTTTACAGGCAAGAGAAGCCCGGAAAAAAGCTATAGAGGACATGGACCCCAAGATACGATCTGCATTGGAGAATTTGAGGCTCTACAAGTTTTACCCTGTACAAACTCCTGATACACCAGACATCAGTCAAGTGAAGGTTTGGCCACTTTTAAATTCCTTCCTAATTCTGTTTGCTCTTAAATCAAACTTGAAGCAATGGTTAGGCTGATTCCATTGTGATTTGAAGGTTATAATTTTGACTCATGAGAATAATCTTTTTTGCGATGCTAAAGTCTGCGTGTAGAAATCCCCTAAGGGGAAGCCTGATGACTGGAGGATGCTAAGTGAGAGTAAAAGAAGTTAAGAGGGCATATTTAACTTCAACTTGGTTCTCCTTCGCTTAGGCGACTTAAGGAACTCATATTTGCCTTCTTCTGAATTCAGTTTTTGGTACTTATAAGGCTTCGTTTGGGACTGCTTTCGTATTGCTTATTAAAACTTTTTTTTAGTATAAAAATTTTAATTTTTTACTAAAAAGCTGCTTTAAGAAGCAATAAGAAAGCTGTCCCAAACAAAACGTAAATTGGCCATAAAAAAGTCGAATGTGGCATGCCGTAGTTCTGTTCTTGGTGGCCAAATCTTTGACTCTCCTTACATGGAAATTTATCTTTGATTCTCTCTTTGACTCTCTTTCCCCTAGTCCCCTTTTCTCTTCTAGCTGAATAGATGCTTGCAGTATGGTATTGTTTCCTTACATTAGGTTCAACAATTTTGGTCCTATATGATGGAATATGGCCAAAATGAAAACTAGATCATCCATGACAGATCTAAATATTAGATAAATTATTAAAAATTTTACTGAACTGAACACTACATTTTACAAAACAATACTGATTATTACAAAACACTACCTTCCACATAACATTGAACTAAAGCGCAACTTTGATTGTTATTTTTTACTTTGTGGACATATTTCATGTGTTCTTTGTTATCATCTTTCAGGTATCATACATCAATAGGTACTATGGAAAAGCTCATGCCGTTCTCTGACACTGAAGAGGGATCGAACTGTTCTTCCATCAATGGATTCAGAAGCAGAAATTTGGTTGTTTTTAGTTTTCAACAGTTGACATTGAGACAATCTAAGCGGCTTCATATTTTTATTTATTTATTGATTTTTGTTTGAGTGACATGAAGAGATTATATCTCACTTTTCTTAAGAACCCTCTTCTCCTCTTTTGTATTACTGCCCTATAAACATGTCTGATTATTATGGAGACAAATATAGACAATTCAAAAGATAATTTTGATTGTGGAGCTTACTTGTATTTGGGGTTTTTATGCCGCTCTTTTTGGTCTGTTGGTTGGGTGTTTTGGCTATCAACTAAGAGGTATTGGATTCGAGTCATGCTTATATATATGTGTGAGTCTTGGCATTGTCTCTTAATTCTTCAAAAAAATTTTTTTGAGGTTTTTGACCTGATCTTGAGCAAATCTGGCTTGAGCTAAATGAGATTTGCTAATTTTAATTTTTGCTTAATGTGATGTAAAAATTGATGTGATTTTCTAAGAAAATGCTAAGGCTTAGATATCATTTTTGGTGATTGTAATATTTTGTAAAATTAGCCATAAAATTATTAGGTGAAATGTAATTTTCTTGAAAGTTATGAGTTTTGATTTCTTTTGATTAAAAGTAGGATAATAATTATTTTAGAGTTAACACATAAAGATCACAGATTTTAGAAAGCTTGGAGAAAATTATAGCAAAATTGAAGTGTGATAGCATGATAAATAATAAGTAGCCCTAAATGTACATTAAATTAGTTCATAAGCTTGCATTTTTAAATCTCTAATTTATTTTTATTATTTATAATTTCTATTGCACAAGTCATTTATTACAAAATTAACCTTTTTTTTCCCCTTGTATTAAAAAAAAATCAATTCCAAATAAAGCCTTAATTACCCTTCTTTTGAGTTGAATTAGTTATGAAAAGTAGAAATTATAATGATTTCTCTTATATTAAAATTTACAGTACTTGGTACAGGACCCACCCTCAACATGAATCAAATACACATTCAATATATACAACTAAAAACTATTAAATAAATAAATAATAATGATGATAGACTTCTAATTTACTTATCTGCATAAGCTTTTTTTTATCATATTATTTCTTTTTTTTTAATGAACAAAATTTACCATTATGTGAATTAAATTATACATATATGATAAACCTCACAATCACCTAATCCAAGCATATTTAGGCTTCATTTGGGATGGCCTTTTTACAACTTCTTAAAAGTAGCTTTTAGTAAAATAAAATAAAATTTGTATACCAGAAAATTGCTTAAAAAAAAGTAAGAAAGTCATCCCAAATGAAGACTTCGTTATGGACGGCTTTTTTACAGCTTCTTAAAACAGCTTTCTAGCATAAAAATTTTAATTTTTTATTGCAAAACTACGTTACAACAACAACAACATCAAGCCTTTATCCCACTACGTGGGGTCGGCCATGTCATTATTGTTCGACAAGTTTTACGCTGGCTATCGACTACCTAACGCAACCCTCCACTTTTCTCATCCAGGACTTGGGACCTGGCAACGGCAGTGTTAAAAAACAATAAAAAGCCGTCCCAAACGAAGCCAAAGTCATAGTTAGAAAAACACTAGTAACTTAAAAATAATAATAATAACAGAATCGAAACAATCAAAGCAAAGACAAGTAGTTGCAGCCATTATGCCTTTTTTCCCCTCTCAAACCAATAAGAATACAAACAGGGAAACCCAAATGAACTATTGTACACATATTATACTATATTCCAATGGCACAGCTAATCACTCATCCTGCTGCTGTAAATAAATGCTAAGATGTGACTAAAAAAAAGGACAAAAAATCTTCCAAATCACTTAATACTAATGAGGCTTTAACCAACTCACCTAAGTATTGCAGCCCGAATCTGCATTCAGAATTTACAACAGGTAAATGCCGACTTCCATCGGTGCTTTCTCAAACGTCTACGGTCAGCTTTTGCCATTCTTATGGGGCTGCTGCTCCATTCAGGTTGGAGTCTGAAGTCCACAAAAGACGCAGAATATCAACTTGGAATGAAATAAGAACGGGAAATAGTGATACAATAGATATTAGCTCTGAAATGTCTCATCAATCCATAATGGAGGTAGTGAAACAAATGTATATGTAATCAACAATAACAACATCAAGCCGTTATCCCACTACGTGGGGTCGGCTACATGAATCTTTTTTCTCCATTGAGTCCTATTAAAAGTCAAATTCTCGTTTAAATCTATTAAAGAAAGGCCATTCCTAATATTTTCTAACCAAGTCTTTTTAGGTCTGCCTATACCTTTCTTAACATAAGTCAAATCTAATACCTCTACTCTCCTAACCGGGTTATCGGAAGGCCGCTGCTTCTTAACATATACAAAAAAATGTATATGTAATCAACAGATGTTATTTACAAATCAGAGTACTGCTCATGTGATTTTCAAGCTTAAACTGCCTATTTACAATAATGAAACTGAATTTGTGAATAAGGCTTTGTTTGGGACGACTTTCTTACTGCTTCTTGAATTAGCTAAAAAAATTTTAATTTTTGTACTAGAAAGCTATTTCAAGAAGCAGTAAAAAAGCCGTCCCAAACGAAGCATAAATTTGCTTTGAATAAGCACCAAAAGAAAAAAAATGGTTATAAACCTGACCGTGTGGCTAAGCATTTCTACTACCATAAAATCTAAGGAATTTAAGAAGGGGACTAAAAGAAACACAAGTATATGCAGGAGACTCAATAATCATGACTAATGATTCATCGTGCAAACGACATATTTCCATTTCTTAGTTCAAACGAGCTCCAATATTGAAGAAGTAAAATATATGATTGCTCCATACCAAGTAATCGAGAAAAAGTTAATTAAATCTGACCAGCTAGATCTGTTTTCTTCTAGTTTATGCATATAGAATACTGTACCTAAAACTATTCTGAATCAACCAAGGGCTTCAAATTTATGCGCTACATAATGTACTCAGAGACAACAGAGCAGGACTAATATTGCCCCATTCAGTTTCAATGTAAGCGTAAAGTTCATGAGAAACAAGCAAAAATTTACTTACAGAGGAAATGCAAAGGAGTGCCCACTGGTTGTGCTACTCTCAGACCGAAGGGATATGTTGGCAGAACACGGTATATGACTGGAAGTAGTTATCGAGCCAGAAAAATTGGCAGGTCCAAGCAGATTCGATTCTCCATGAGCAAGATGAGAAAATGAACTTCGAGCTGAGGTTGTACCATCACTTACAGCTTCTTCAGATTCGAGGCCATTTTGAAACTGCACGGTCTGTTGGTTGTTTATAACTTGGTTCTCATTGCCAACTATGGATGTGCCTCCAGCCTCCAAATCAGAAGTGAAAGCCACGCCATCAAATTTGGGATTATCAGAAGCCCCATTGGTATTATCGATTCTATTTGATTCGTGGTCATCAGAAGTGGCAACAAATTCTGATGTTTTCTCTTCCTCAAGTAGATCCTTGTGGCTAGAAACTGTTCCCGCAATCTGGTTGCTTTCTTTAGCTTTCTCAGGAGAGGAGGCAGCCATTGTTGTCAAATTCTCTTCTTCCACGACCTATAATCACAAATATAAAGACAGGCACTCAATGGCATTTTACTCAGCAAAGCATGTACACTTGAACTGCAGGTAGAAACATTTGCACAGCAAATGCAAGCACACACGAACTATATGTACGGTTCGATTGGTTCCATAAACAAAGATGGATTTATTAGACAAAGAAACATAAATCGATGAGCGTTTCCTGTATATCCTGACAAAACAATCTACTTTTTGCGGTGTTATTTTATATCATAGTGTTTTTTTCTGCATTAGTGCTCAGAGAGAGTCTAAAAAAGCATTTTAATTGCTCCAATAAATTGAGTATCTTAATTTCCTGCTAACCTGATCATGTTTTTGCCTCAGAGCTTGATTATCAAAAGTGCTATCATTATGACTCGATGAATCCGCTCGATGAAAATCGGTGTTAAATTCTTCTAAAAAGTGTGATCTCTGGTCAATGATCTCCTCAGCAGGCAGCGTAAATGCAGTTATTTCTGTTGTATCCAAGGGTCTCCTCTCACTAATTGAATTGCTAGAATAACGCTGTTCAGCAAGATGTTCAGTAAATAAAAAAGATCTCAAATCATTCTTAGAAGTTTTGTCTATTCTCTCATTCAAATCTGTGTCTCCAACATCTCTTTCCAAAATTTTCTCCAAGGAATCAAGCCCTTCATGAGTTGGTAAGCTTTTTAAATCTTCAGAGTTCTCATTTTCTCTTGTTTCCTCCATAAGCGCACTATTGCCATTCACTCTAGGAAAGTTCGAGGCTTTATCATACTCAACCAAGATTTTTTCAAACATCTGCACGCCTTCGTCAATGCAAATGTCCTTGACAGTAGGAGCAGCTTTGGTAGATACCGACAAATGTGGTAGTTCAACATCAGTAACAGTTTTGTCCATATAAAACAGATCTTCTTGGGAAATTAAGCTGATCTCAGAAGTGGCACGAGGACATGGAGCAGCTCTGCAGACGCTCTCATTCATGCAATTATTAATAGGGTCTGATTTGCCAGACAAATAATATGCATTTGAGTCATTACAAGATTGAGATAAATCTATAGATTGGCAAACTTTCCCCTCTATTTCATCTAATATAACATCTTTCTCTATTTTTCCACCCCTGTTATCTAATTTTAGGATATCAGATGAGAACTGCTTGTTACAATCAGAAGTTACTTTCGAGGCATGCTCACTGTAGTCATACAGTTCTGCATCTGTAATGAAGAAGATAGCAATAGAGTGTTTTATCAGCTTAAGAATATAATTGACTTAAACGTAAAACAAATTTCCATCTTGATTCCATCAAATGAAATAGGTAGATTATTATTAAAGAAAAAATTAATGGAAAGCAACAAGTGGAATAACACTATCTTATACTCGATTAAGATTTTAGTTTCACTTCAAGTAAAAGCACGAAACATGCTGATGGAATATGATATATGAAGTTAGATAAAAGACTTAGAGATAAGTGTGCAGAAGAATACTAAAGAAAAGCATTAAATCAATAAATTTCCATACGTACTTAGCTGAGCATATAAAATTGATGTCATTGAAGAATATTTTTCACGAATTTTTTTTAGGAGATCACGCTATGTAAATTATAAATTTCTGTAATGACCAGTCACACCAATTATTCAGAAGATGGCAGATGGTGCAGACTTGCAAATTGAATCATTGAAAAGTTCTAGATTATTAGATTGATTTGCAGGGGAAACTTGTAGGGTATTTTATAAGTATTATTTCAAATGCAGATAGAAAGATTGTTAAATCCTAAACTATTTAGCAATGAAAAAGCAATACACATGGCAACACAAGTGACTTTAGAGTCATTTTTGTGATTTAGGATGCTAATCAATGGAAAGAACCAACACACATGGTAAGACACGGAAAGAACCAATAAACAGTCACGTCGCCACATCCGCAATCGCAAAATTGAACTAATATCTAATTTTGAACAAAAATGTGATGTACGGTGCTTTAGAGTTTAGGGTACACTAATGCAAATCTAAAATGAGATGCACAAAGAAATACATTAAAGATCACAGTTCACAATTTCCAAGGTTCTAATTTTGGCAAAAAGGTCAACCACTTTTGATGAAAAAATAGAATAACGCCTATTGTAAAAAAAAAAAGTTGCATTGCCAATTACTGCAGCACATGAAGTCTCCCGATTATTCTCCTAAGGCCGCAGCAGCTGATGGCCATAGGAGGCATAGGCGGTTAAGGGATCAGCGGTGGAATCCAAAGAAAGAATTAAATTAAGTTTAAATGCATACAACTACATATATAACTAAAATCCTCCAAATTCCCTAGCCAAATCTACAGATACGAGAGCTTCGAGGGCTGACATGGGATGCCTGGAGAGGTGGCTGCAACTGTTGAAATCAGAGAAAAGGAAAAGGAAAAAAAGACGGAAAGAAAATGAAAGAAAGAAAGGAAGAAAGAAAGAAAAGATAATAAGTTTTTTCTCTTTTCAGTACTAGTTTTGTTTACCACCTTGCACTGACTTTTGTTTACTTGTTTGAAGGTCTTCGTGGCTAGCAGTTACAGGAGATTGAGTTTGCAACTGCAGGGTTTATCAAGAACTGGAGTTAGCCAAGAGCTGGAGCTTGCTAGAAGCTGGAGATGGGTTTAGGTTTGCTTAGAATTTGGAGTTTTCTTTGTTTTGTTTGGGTTGGTGCTTAGTTGGTGTGTATTGTACTTATGTTTGTACAGTGCAAACACTAATTTTGTTCTTTTCTTATTACATTTTGAATTAATTGCATTAATTAATTATTTTATTAATTAAATGGAATTTAAATTTTAATTATAATTAAAAATTAACTACTCATCTCGTCAATTTAAATATTAAATATAATTTAATATTAATTAAATATTTTAATTTAATTATTAATTAAATTTAAAATTGGTTGCTCAATTAAATTTAATTAAATTAAAGGTTTAAATTTATTAATTGGTTTATTAATTGAATATTAATTAAAAGATTTAGTTTAAAATTAATTAGTTTAATTAATTAGAATTTTGATTTTATTTAAATTAATTTGATAAATTAAATTAAATTTTGAATTAATGTTCAATTAGATTTTAAATTTTATTTTAATGTGAATTAGTCAATTAAGTTAATTAATTTAAAATTTTACATTTAAATTAAAAGTATTAACTTTATTTTAATTGATTATTAAATTAATTTTTAAGCTGAATTTAAATTGATTAATCAATTATTTAAGTTAATTAATATCTCAAATTTAATTTAATTAATTATTCATTTAGATTTTAAGTAATTATTTAAAGTTAATTAAATGATAAAGCTCTCAAAGATCAAGCAGGAGGCGGTGCAGAATGGAGGCTGGGTTCGGTTTGTGCGAGGCAAAAGGCTTAAGAGACATCCAAATTGGTTCACTGTCTATTCTAAAGAATATTCTTCATGCTCTTAAGCTTTTTACTAACCTATTGTCTATTCAAAATCTAAAACATTATATAAACTAAGTAATTTTTTTTTTCAACTTAATGTGTATTTAAAGATAAAATATTAGAAATATATATATATATATATATATATATTAAATGAGAATATGACTCTTCACAAAACACAATGGAGAAAAAAGATTCATACAGCCAACCCCACCCATGTAGTGAGATAAATGCTTGATGTTGTTGTTGTAATGAGTATTTAAAGATAAAAAGATGGGATGGAAGAAGATTGGACTTGCCAAGGAAAAAAGATGGACTCCACTTTCTTAAATCATCAAGTAGTCTAAAGAATGACAAAAATGACAATCTTTTATTTCAACAAATCAAGACACAATCTTGCCCTTCACGTGAAATCTTAACAATTGTATTTCCTTCTCTTTAAAGAAGCTTAGATAAAACATTCCATCATGACAGATGCGCAAGTGTTTTCTATAGCTATGATAAAATAAACTATTCCTTTTTATTTACATTTTTATTTGATACATAGTGACATCTAAAGCCCTTTACTATTCCTAATAGAATAGGGTCTAGATGGTTAATTTCTTTCATAGAAGATGATTGCATTAAATTTTCCTATTTAGGTCCCAATTAAACATGAGTATTGCCCTTTCTACTTAATGTGATTCAAAATAAATTTAGGGTGAAAATTAAAAAAATCTACTTTGATAATGCTAAGGATTACTTTAACTACCTTGTCCCCATATTTATAAAAGAAAAGCATAATTATTGAGTCTTCGTGCATTTATACTAAAGATAATAGGTTACATAAAGCAAATATGGTTAATTATCAGCCACAACTAGAGCTTTGTTATTTCAACAAAATATTCCAAAATCATATTAGAGAGTGGTCGTCCTTCCAGCTAACATATCATAAATAGGCTACTTTCTCAGTTTTGTTTTCAGGTCACCAATGGAAGTACTCTTTTAGTTTTATCCCAATTTGAACACCACAAACAACAAATCTTTGGTTGTATTGCCTTTGTGTATTTTCATTGTACGAATAAAGGAAAATTAGACATAGAGCAATCAAGCGTATGTTTGTGGGATATTCATTATCTGAAAAGGAGCACAAGTGTTGTCATCCACTTACCAAAAAACTCTTTGTTTATGCTAATGCTACATTTGAGAGTTCTTATATGGAATATAAGGATAGAGATATCTTTCAAGTGGATCTTCCTTCTTCATTCATCAACTACTATTATAATTGCCTCCAAGCCGCCTGTAAAAACTAGCCCATAACTAAATAGATTCCTTCCACTCATAATTAAGAAATCTCAAATCATGACCTGAAAACTTGCTTATACACGAATTGACTTAAATCATAAATTGTGAGGAGTAAAAGAAAACCCTGCTATGGGCAGAGAAATTACCGAAGATTAGCAGGAAAACCAATTTATGTTGCACATACAAGATCGAATATAGCTTATAAGGCTAGTGTGGTAATTCATTTCATGGATGATCCAAAGGAGGTTCACATAAAAGATGTCTATTGGATTCTTCACTATTTAAAGGCTACTTTTGAAAGGGAAATTTATTTAGAAGAAACAAAATAGGAACTTGATGCTTATACAAATATAAACTATGCATGTTCACCATTAATAAGAGATCCAACTCTGAATATAACACATTTCTAAGAGGTAATATATCATATGTATAAGCAAAAAAATAAAATGTAGCAAGGTCTAATGCAAAAACATAATTTAGAACAATGGCATAAGCTACATGTGACTTACTAGGGTTAAAAATTCTCCTTAAAGATTTAAAGATCGAGTAGGAAGAATCTCCAAAACTCTTTTATGATAATAAGTCAACATTCAACAATTAATATTGGTAAAAAAAATTTATGCAACATAATAGAATGAAGCATGTTGAGATAGTCCTTCAAAAAAAAAAATAAAAAAAAAAATTAGATAATGGTTTATTTTGTGCACCCTGTGTCTACAAAAGGGATCAACATATGACTTCACAAAGGGAATCAACAATGTATCGTTTTAGGAGATTATTGATAAATTGAGAAAGGAAGATCTCTATTCATCAAGCTGAGAGGAGTGTTGGAATGCATGATAGTTGTCCAATATTAGACTCAAAATCTATGGATGAACTAAATACTACAAGTGTTGGAATTAAAACAATCAAGCAATGTCTATTTCGGGAGTGGCTCCTTGTGGCATTAACTCATTAATTCCTAATCCCTAAAATTATTATTGCCTCATTCAAAGGGATTTTATTAATGATTATATGTTTCCTTTACATAAATGCTTCATTTATTTCTCGATGTACAACCTGTATAAGACCACATAATTGCGCTCATAACCAATAGGTTAAGGAAGGGAAAGGGCGGGGGAGGATGGAGACTTTGAGCAAATTTAATTACAAATTCACACACATGCACATGCAACACCTCGGCCCCGAAGCCTCTGGCTTGAAGCCTAAGCTCATAACCAATAGTTAAGGTGGGCCACAAAATTCTCTTAGATTTTCTCACAAATAATTCTCTTGGATTTTCTAGCATTTATAAACAAATAAAAAAACGTCTTAGTATCAGAAAAGCACTGTTATGCTATAACCTCATAGACATTTAATATAAGAGTGTTATTATTGGATTAGCACAAAGCTTTGAAACCTCATTTAATGCATGGTCATTGGATATACCACTTAAAAAAAATAAGAAACCATCTCGATAAATAAGGGGATTTGTGGCTTTTTTTTTAATATTTATTTTTTATTGGATAAAGCATGCTTGGTGATTGTTTTGTTTCTTTTTTTAAAATTTAATAAATTATTCTTAAAATACTTAAAATAAGTTTTAGAATTTCAATTTCTTCAAAAATATTTTTTCCCTCGATGTTTGATCTCCTCATACAAAATGTTGGTCATATTGAAACACATGAGGCCACCACAGAAGTCCTCTATGAAATCGATGTCGTCAAATGCATCGAGGAGAATACTAAAATTATCATGCAACTCAAATGTGTTGTAATAATGTAATATCTCAATGAATTGCCTAATTACATCCAATCGAAGTTTGATTCCAGCGTTTGAGGTGAAATCAATGACAATCGATCGTGGAACAAGAATCATCGTTGTGGAGCCATGGATAGCAGAGGATTTCAAGGACTATGACGCAATTCTTTTGAACGCCAACTAAAAGTAGGGATCATTCAGAGTGATAGTCCCACTAGAAAATAATGGAGGGGTATGGTACTCAGATACGCCTTGGAAGTAAAAATAATAAACAAAAGAGAAGAAAAGCATAAGAACAAAAAGATAATGACATAGTTTCTTATTTCTCCTTCAATAATAAAGCAATATACAATTGATCTACTATTCGAGAGGTAGATCAGCTCTCCTACAAATCCTAGATGTCGGTGGGAACACACAAAAAAATACTAGAAAAATAAACTCAATAATATCATATCCTAAACCATAGATAAACTCCCCCTTAAATAACCCTAGAACACAAACCTTTCTAAATAAACAGAACCTTCCTAATCAACATAAAAATAATTTAGAAAATATTTCTAAACAAATAAAACTTTCCTAATCAAAACTCCCTCATTAAATCCTTCCTAACACACAATAAACATATTTGGAACCTTCCTAATTAAAACATTCCTGATAAAAACCTTCCCGAAACACCTCACCCTTGATTACTTTTCTTTGCATAACAGCTCTCCTAGACCCCACAAAGCTGGTCGAATTTCCCTCTGGCTCCCCTCTTATTTTCGCTCAGCCATTGGCTAGTTCGGCTCCTGCTAGACTGGCCGGCTGGGTTGGTCCAGGCCTTTTCTTGCTACTACTGCCCCTCCTGCTACTGTTGCTCCCTGTTGCTGCCAATACTGCTCATGTCGCTACTACCTAGGCTAGACCAGCAAGGAGATGTGTCACTGGCTTTAAATCATCAAAAGTTCCAGGATAATTGATGCCATGGAATATAGATTCCCTTGCAATGTATGATTTGACAAGTGAAATAAATTTGTTTATTTATTTCCTGCCATTAATGACCTTAGGGTTATAGTGGTGATAACCACTTGTAGAGAGAAACTTCTCAAAAACATCTGTATTTGAGGTAATTTGTCCATTGTAAACTTGCTCCTAAATCCTAGGAAGCTTCTCATTCATAGCACTTAGAGAGGAATCTTCATTGGGCTCATGTACAAGACCATTTGGCAAAAGATAGCCCTGCAGCCTAAATAGCCCAAGCTTGTAAACAAAATGGGTGGTCCCTTGAGCCTCTTCCTTATATTTAGCTTCTCTTTCAACTTTTAGAAGCATATCTTAGGAAGAAGATCTGGCTTTAGCTAGCACCATTTTAACAAATGCTTCCTCAACCTGATGAACCAAAAAAGACTCCTCATCAATAACATATGTCGCATCTTTTATCTTTCATATCATAGACCCTATGATCAGCACCGCCCCAATAACTTCTTCCTCCTCCCGTGTAGCAGTTGTCGTGATCCCTCCATATCTCTCCCGTATATCGAGGGTGGGAATCGCGTCTTTCTTTCATCTGTCTAACATGACCCAATCCCCATGATTCGGCCTGTCCCCTCCTTCGTCACTCATCCACTCCTCTTGCACAAACAACCTCCCAAAGTGGTCGGTCACCTTAACCCCGTCACCATAAAACTCCCTTCCTGCTGTCCCCCCATAAAAACCCCTATTCTGTCCCTTATCGAAGTCCTAGGAGGTGGCTTTTGATGAAAGGAGGTCTCTTCGTCGAACTCTTTCCGTCCAATCTCTTTTCCTTTAGATTTGACAAAGGGAATCCCAATCAAATCTTGTAAGTGTTGGCAATTAAAACCGTCAGCGGGGTTTTGGATTGCATCTCCATGAGCTTTCTCATCATCTCCTTCATAATTTTCCTTCCCTCAAGTTCAGTCCAAGGAATCGTCAGTGAAGCCTTCGACTGCATCAATCATCTTCTTCATCATATCCTCCAATTTCTCAAAACGGTTCTCAATGGATGATAACATTCCTTCCACACCCAAATATTTTTCCTCCATGCCAGCCCTGAGTTGTTCCATTTCGTATTCAAACGCATCCATCTTCTTTGTGTCATTCATGGATCTAGGTTTCAAACCGCGGAAAAAAAGAAAACAATGACTTTGGTCTTCAAACAGAGAAAATCAACATGACGGGAAAAAAAATGTAGCATAACTCAATAATGAGGACTTAAATTTCAGCCCAACATGCCGCTCTGATACTATTTGATAAGCCTTGGAAGTAAAAATAAAAAACAAAAGAGAAGAAAAACATAGGAACACAAAGATAATGGAAATTTTTTTTATTTCTCCTTAAATTATAAAGTAAGATATAATTGATATACTATTTGAGAGATAGATCAGCTCTCCCATAAACCCTAGACGTCGCTAGTATCACATCCCATTTTGACCTCCTATAGTCAATCTAGAATGTAACAGAGAAGGAGAATCTGAATAAACCTATTTCTTACTAATTACCATCCTGAAATCCTTCTATCATGACCAAGTGAGTACGAAATTGTTTATCCAAACTCTTCCAAAACTTCAAGTTTTACAAAACTTAAGCCTAGAATTAATATTTCATAATTGAAAACATATTTAAACACATATAGTAAATACCTCAAGTAAAATAAAGAGCTTGACTAAACTTTTAAATAACATTTACATACCCAAAAATGTCTAAACAACTTCTACTTTGATCTCTGTCCCAAAATGCATGTACACAAAAAGGCCAGTCAACCGTCTCGCCTAATGCCCCACTTACTCATTTCCTTTAGCTGCAGTACAATAATTATTGTAGTACAACCACTGCTAATGAGCTAGAGCTAGGGGTGTAAGTGAGCCGAGCCGGCTCGCAAGTTGGCTAGAGCTCGACTCGTTTATGACCTCGCAAGTCGAGCTTATCGAGCCTTGAGTTCAAGCTTGACAAAACTCGGCTCGCGAGCCAGCTTGAAATTATTAAATTTAAATATTTAAAAATAATAATAATAAGCCCATACGGCTAGCTTAAATTTTCGCCTGTTGAAATTTTAAAATCCCACCTAAAATCTTTTTTTTTTTGGAAAACCACCTGAAATCTCAAACGCATCTCTCTCTCTTCTCTGATTTGGCCCCTCTCTTATCTGAAATAAATGCTAACAACTAACACTCATTCTCCCTTCTGGCAAACCTAAAAAACGGC